CATTTTCGGCGTGCCGAAAAAGAAAATTTACCCCTCCCCCACCAAACATGGAACCGGACAGCGCATCCCCAAGGAAAATGGTCCAAACCAGGACCCCCCCCTTGACGTCGAACGGTTCCATCTAAATTGGGAGGGTAGATGCTGCACAACAACAAGCGCCGTTGGTAGCAGCTTCCAAAAAAGATGGAAAAAAAGAGAGAGAAAATCAAACAGCCAACCAAAAAAAAAAGAACGCAAAGTGCCAAAGGCCCGCAGCCAGTTTCTTAGCGCGCCTTGGCCAACTGCATCTGCTCCGCTGCCTTGTTCAGTCGGAGCTCCGACAGGCCGTGGGCAAAGCGACACCTCAGTGGAGCAAAGTGACGCATCGCCAGTCAGGCTCAGTCCTTCACTGTTCCCCCTCCCACCAAAGCAAACCACTTTCCTCTTGGAAAGGGGCCAAATGTGCACAAACCCATGATGCCAGCATGGGTTTGTGCACATTTGGCCCCTTTCCAAGAGGAAAGTAGTCTGCTTTCGGGGTCTGTGCACTTCCATTTTGGTCGGTGGGAGGGTACAAGATGCATTTCTCGTGCTCCGGTTGCTTTGAGAAGAAGAAACACAACTCGCTGAGACGTGAAATGGCAAAGAACTCGAACTCGACACATGCATCGCAGAACCGGCATCATGTTGTGGCAATTAGATTCTTAGTGCAAAACTGATCTCCATTGCGGCACTTGCCCTTCTCGTTCCAAATGCACCTGCATCAATATGTGATCACCAAGTGTAGGGATGCTATCTTTGCTGCACATGATGAAGCGGTCACCAGCAAAAGAGAACATGCAGAAAGGTATGACGTCACCAGTTGGTTCCGAGGTCCACGCAGAGTCTTTTTGTAGAACATATCCGTAGACCGCAAATCCTCTTCACCTTAGCATTCGCATGCCCCAGGCTGGGCATTAAACCGGCAGCAACCTCGCTGACTGACCATGAGATGACATGAAAAGTAGCTGAGCTCAATGCTGTGGGCAAAGGTGCAGTCAGCATCATTGCATCCTCCACCTGCAAGGCTTGAATATGCCACGTCGAAAAGCACGACGTGTCCGAGAATTGCATTGTGAGCATTGGGCTGTGGGTCAAAAATTGGGCAACCCCAAAATGGAACCCTGGTAAATGGAAAGATGGACTAAAACCTGCGGTCCCCTGGTTTGATTTTGACCCAGACCCATTGCACTTGGGCCCTGGCCCTCAAAAAAATTGGCACAAAGCCGCGTCTTTCTCAGGTCAGGGGTGGCCTCGCAGAAGGCACGTAACCGCTTTAGGCACGTCTCACTTGCGGGTGGCCTGGAGCTCGGCACACGAGTGAGCGAACGAACAGTTGGATCCAAATTGGCACGCCCCCTTCAGGTGGTACCTGCGGAATTTCTAGCGGTCAAAAGTGCCAAATGCCTCTCAAAGGGCACAGGCAGAACTTGGTCTTGTGCAGTTGCGAATGAAGGCAGGTGTGGCGTGGCTTCTCCTGTGCTCGTACAGGAAGGACATCGGGAAGAGTTCGGTGGCACCAGCAATGCACATGCCGTCCTTGGTGTCAGTTGACTTGGCTGTGCTTGCTGAGACCTCAGCGGATTGGCCAAGTGCTGTAGGAAGTACAAGCTGCAAATGACGTGGGGTGCTTTTGCGAATTCTTCCTACCCTCTGCGCCCCAAAACAATATCAAAATGCGCTGGGACTCTTCAGTGGCAAAGGCTCCAGCCTGGGCCTCCATCTTGTTCACCGAAACCTTGCCACCTTTCTTTGCTCCGCCTCAAGTTGTCACGAGGGAAACATAGCCTTCAAACACACAAGCGGGGTCCCCAAAATCTATCCAAAACAGAGCCACACACACACACACAACAAGGCGGAAAAAAAAAAAAAAAAAAAAAAAAAACTAAAAAACTCAAGTGATATTGCTCAGCTTCACGCCCATTGCGTGAACTGGGAACTGCCAGGAACGGTAGGTTCACCTCCAAAAGCATGCGGGGCTTTTGCTTCACTCCGTGTGAGCCAAAGACCAACATGTGGCTGTGGCTCAAAAAACCGGTACTAAAATGGAACCCTGGTAAGTGGAAACATGGACCAAGACCTGCGTAACCCCTCCTGTTTAATTTCGAGCCACACCCATGTCATGTCATGCAGCTCATGCACCTGCTGTCCCTAGAGGGGAATTGGAACTGGCGCGCCGCAAACGTCGGAGCTCAGATGAGCTGCGGCACACATGTGGCGTCGGGCATCTGAATTCACTCACTCATCACTTGGGTCAGCATGTGGGGGTTGATCAAAAGGTCCTTATGGGATGACCATTGGTTGGAAAAACCACTAAAAAAGACGATATTTAAAAGTTACGGGTCCATGGTCATTTCGGGGCCAGGCAGATTGGTCACCCCATGTCAAGCACCAGAAAGCGCGATGCGACTGTTGCCTCATGTCAAGCACCTAAGCAGCCTAAGCACGATGCGACTCTGTCTGTCTGGCTGTCTGCAAGGTCCTCGAGCTTGGCATCCTTGGCTTTCTTGTCCTCGGCGAAATGCCCACCGAAAAACATCCACATCCTGACATGTGGCTGTGCTCAAAAATCCGGTACCACAATGGAACCCTGGTAAGTGGAAACATGGACTAAAACCTGCGTAACCCCTGCTGTTTAATTTTGAGCCATACCCACATGTGCCCAATGTCCTTCTTTGCTTTCTTGCTTTTCTTGAGCTTTGCCGGTGGCCTAAAGTGACAGGCTCGCGGCTCTCATGTGAGTCACAATCACAACCCGGTACTAAAATGGCTGACCCAGAACCATGTGAAGAATTAAGAAGGCGGCCGCAACTATTTCTGGCTGGGACTTACTAACCTTCATCAATCCCCGGGTTTTGATTGTGGCTCATGTTATCCTGGTCGCAAAGCCCGCGGCTCCGTTTCGACATTGGAAACCGGACCTGAGCGAAGCTCGGAGCACGGCTCACTTCGCCGCACGCCCGGCCTGGCGCTTCAGCTGCTTGAGCTGCTTGAGCTGCTCCAGCTGCTTCAGCTGCTTGAGCTGCTTGAGCTGCTCCAGCTGCTTCAGCTGCTGGAGCTGCTTGAGCTCCGAGCCCCGGCGAGGCCTGGAGTGTGAAGTAATCTTCAGCAGCCAGTGGATGAAGCAAGCAGTGCACAAAGAAAACCCACCTCTGCTCTTGCTTTGGGCTGTGCTCCCCTTGGAACCTAGGTGTCCGGCAGAATTTTTTGCAGTTCCTTGCTCACTTCTTTCTTCTGAGATCCAGGCACCTTGAGTCTCGATGGGCATGGCCTCATGCTAAGCGCAAGGGCTGAAGGAAGAGAATGAGCACAGAATCCTACAGTACCTCCCCCCTTCTGCTCCTTGAAACCGCTAGGAAAAGCTTTACCCAAGGCTCGCCAAGTCTTAGCAAGGGCTCCTCAATGCAGACCTCCCAGGCGGAGGATTTTAAGGGCGGCTGCTGTGGGCCGTATGAGGAACTTGCCAAACATCGGACCAATTTGTTGTGCAAGAAACAATATCAAACTCCACATGAGCCATGATCAGACCTGGTATTAAAGGAGTCTACCAGAAACATTAGAGACTCAAAAGGGCCAACAGCCACTTGTGGCAGGGACCTTCCATACCCTACCATCGGTTTGGTTTCCTTGCCATCTGAGCACAGCCACGAAGCCGAGCCGCATGTGGGGCTCTGTGCGCTCGCTGCGCTCGCTGCACTTGCCTGGCCTGGCAACAGGAATTAACCCTAAACCCTAAACTTTAAACCCCATACCCCTGCCTCTGGACTGGATGCCAAGGCCTCCAGCTGCTTCAAGGCCTATCGGAGCAAACTTCCATTCGGAACTAAAGCGTCACGTGCAGCAACCTCCTTGGTGGACGCAGCCCAGTCCTCCCAAGCGGGGGATGTCCTGGTGCAAGACCATGCGCCAAGGACATGGGTCTCCTTTTTTGGGGGGCCCCACAAAGGCATTGGGTTTTCCTTCAACCCCACCAGAAAAAGAGAAAACAAAAAACAAAAAAACGGCCTCTGCGGCTGTCCTGCTCGGAGCGTCGGCCGACTTGAGGCTTCCGGTCCCGTCCGCCGTCGCCTCCGCCTCCCGCGGGTCGCCGAACTCCTGGCTTTGGTTGGACTCCTGCTGCAACAGCAGCTCTTGCAGGTCCAGCCCCGCGAAGTCCAGGTCATTCTCCGCGCAAACCTCCAGACCCTCGCTCTCGCGCGGATGCGGAGGCAGCTCCTTCTCGGTTGACGGCTGGAGCGGCTCAGGCTTTTGAGCAGGGGGTGGAGAAGGCAGAGCCGGAGCTGAGGTCGGCTTGCTCAGCGACTGGACGAGCTCTGTCAGCTGCTGCAAGCTGTTTGACTGCTCCAACTCTGGTCTCTCAGCTCTCCGGTTAGGCGGTTTCTCTGCCTCTGCTTCATCTCCAGATTTCTGCGGAGATGCTTTTGCTTTGGATCGAGCTGTGGACTGCACATTGCCCGATCTCATCACCTCAGACAGCACCAAAGAGAAGCACCGGCTGCTCAGAACAATTTACGACAAACGAGAATCTGCCCCGGTCAAAGTTCTGGAAGCTCTTGGGGGAGATAACCAACATACTGCTTGCGACAGTTGCCATCCTCGCAAAGCACAGGGTTGAGAATGCTATGTCCTTGCTCAAGATCTTGGAATTTGTTGGGAGAAGTATCAGCGACACTGCTGCCGCATTCAGCATACGTCAAACATAAGTGTGGCAGCAAACAGTGCATTGCTGTGCGCCCACACACGCACACACACACACACACAAAAGAGAGAGAGAGAGAGAGAGAGAGAGAGAGAGAGAGAGAGAGAGAGAGAGAGAGAGAGAGAGAGAGAGAGAGAGAGAGAGAGAGAGAGAGAGAGCACACTTGCACACGGATTCAGAGCTAAGGTTGGCAGATTTGTTCACCCACGAGGACGGCTGGATATCCCCATTGTTTTTTATGTGTTTTTGCTTCCTACATCCACACAAGCAGAGCCGAACAGAGCAGTCGCGAGGCTACACCCAGGCGTCCAACTCCCCCATTGAGACGAGCAGCAGGTTGCAACTCGTGCTCTGACCTGGAAGTTCGCCCAAAAAGTGACAAAAGTCCATGCACTCGAGTGAGTTTTTGGTTCGGAGGGACCATGTCCCAACATCTCACCCGCAACTTCAGCCAGCTCATGCCCTGACTCCCTCCCCTGGTGAAACTCGCAACCCGCCAAAAATGAGGGTGGGGGTCAAAAATAATCCACCAGGAATTGGACCGCAGGTTTTAGTCAAATCGTTTCCATTTACTGAGGTTCCATTTTGGGGTTTCCAATTTTTTTGACACCCACAGCCCGCATGGAAAATCCCCCCAAATCCAACTGCATGGCCTGCCGGGGCACGGGCGATAGCCGCCTGCGGCGAAATTTTTGGCGCGGCGGCCGGGGTCAAACCACGGGTCAAACATGGGGTACCAATGCGACCACAACAATGGTCGTATTCAATATCTGGCCATCCCAAAATAGGGGTTGATAACTTTTGAGCCAAGCCCACATGGCACAGACTAAAGTGGATTCACAAAGCCCCAAACCCCCTGACGCGGCTTTTCAGTCTCTCATTGGGCAACGCGCCTTGACTGCGATCGCGCAATCGCTCCACCTCCTCGCTGGTCAAGTCTTTCACCACCTCATTGGCTCAAGGCCTTTCAGAGTTGCGTCTTCGGAATGTTCTAGTCAAAGGAAAACCACAACTGCCCTTGGCACGCGGCATCTGGATAAGCGTCCAGCAAGCCTTGACCTTGCCCACTCGCACGCGAGTGTCGCGACATCGCGGCTGGCAAGGGCTGCACCCAGCTCCACGGCATCTTCGGCCGTTCTTTGGCTGCGGAAGGAGACGACGAGCTCTGCTTCTTTCGGACCTTGTATCACGAAGACCTGCCGAATCGCTTGGCCATCTTGACATGCCTCTTGCATCTGATCCTTTATGCTGATATGGCTTGTTCTGATCTCTGTGCATCTGTTCGCTCAAGCCTCCTCTACATCACTTCTCGACTCCAGCAAATGCTTCATGTCCTGCAGACAAGCCCTCTTGCCAGGTCAACTGTCAATGCCAATGACCGTGTTCTGCTTTGCTCTCCTCCAAGGACTTTGGCATTTGGCTGCCACTGCCTTAGCAAGCTTCCCCATCCAGCATCCTGGACATCCTCGTTTCTCCGCAAGCCTTGCCGTTCAAAGGTTCATGCCTGACAATGGATGTCTTTGGCCTTTTGGAAACCAACTCGCGAGACTCGGTGGGACATAGGGTACAGCCTTGAGCCCTGCTTCCCGAGGAGTTCGCTCTCAGCCCTGGGCGAGAGTTGGCAGCTCGCTCCTGAGCCTCCTCAGCCGTCGACATGCGGCAAGCCGTCGACATGCGGGCACTTCGAAGGGTTTTTGTATTACACCCTGGGAAGACACCCACTGGGTATTGACCCCATTTGGATCACACATGTCCGAAGAAGAAAAAAAAAAAGTTGAACCATTCTGGGTCATTTCCCAAGGGTGTAATTCCAGGGTTTAATACAAAAACCCTCAGAGCACTGCGTCTTGACTGCTGCCATAAGAGTGAAGCTTTGCGCCATCTGGAAATCCGTTTACCACCTGCAAGCGTGGTGCTCCGCTGGCTCGCACACTGCTGCTATTCACTGCAGCCTGAGAAGCACTGGGGCCAAAACGTGGTGAGTTGGGTCCTTCCGACTCTCGCAAGTGCCTGGCGCCGGGTTTCAACTTCTCATAGTCAAGCACACCATGCTTGCAAAGGGTGACTTGCTGAGCAAATCCAACCGCCAACCGCCGGAATGGCTCAGATCTTTTTCGGCGACTGGCGCTCAAAAAGACCGGAACATGCGCGAGCAGACGCGTTGCAAATGATCAGATTGTTTCTCGTTGTTGGCTGATAGCTCAACCGGCACTATTGCTTGGGATTCCGGCACTGGCCAAACTGGATCTAATTAATCCACACCACATGGTCGCCTCGGGTTCAATCCTTCGTCAACTACATCAAGGGGATGAGCTTGCGATTCGTGTTCACACGAAGAGCTGCCAAATCATGCTCCTTGACTTGCGGTCATCAAAAGGATGCCATAACGATTCATGACACAAAGGCTCCAGGCCGTGATGCTCCACGCCTGAGACGAACGGTGGTGGGCTCAAAGCCACTCTCCGTGTACTCGGACCAAAGCCCAGGGGTGTCAGCCTGACAGACTCTCCTCTACAAACGGATGCCAATTGCAACCGCACCATGGCACTGTAGAATCCGGCTCAGCCGGGCGTGTCTGGTGCACGTTCTTGCGCATATAATCTTGCTTGTGCTTGCTTTTGTGCTCAAAAAGCGCTCATGCGCACGCACAACGGCTGCACCGACGCTCTCACAAGTGGTAAACAAAAACGCTCACACGCATCCACAACTGATGCACCCATGTTGGCACACGTGACAATAAACACGCTCACGTGCATCCACATCCGCTGCACCCATGCTGGCACGCGAAACGTCAGACCTTCAAGCTCTTCGCTCGGAAATTGACCCCCGCCCACCCCATGTCGCGCGGCCAAAATCCCTGCTCCAGCTGCCTCCAGTGCGCCGGCCAGCCGTCAGATCCCTTTGAGAAAGGGCGGTCAGCTTCCCCTCAAAACCGGTCCAAACCGGTCTAAAAACCGTAGAAAAGAAACCAGTCAAATCCCGGCCAAGTTCCACTTAAATCCGGTCCAACCCTCTCTAAAAAACCGAGCAAACCGGTCAGATTCCCGTCTAGAAACCTGTCAAACCCCTTTAAAAACTGGTCCACTTCGCACGCCCACTGCCATTCTCTGCGGCTCTATGCACCCTCTAGCTTGGAAACCAGCTCACGCATTTCGGCGCCGACTCACTCACTCCAACAGACACAACACTTCAAGGCAAACTAAAACACGGTATATACTTCAAAGCCAGGCAAAAGCGGACTGGCCGAGGCGGGCGACACCAAGCGTTTACAATAAACACGCTCAAGCTTGTCCGCAACCGCTGCACCCATGCTGGCACCAGTGGTAATAAGCACGCATCCACTGCTGCACCCATGCTGGCACACGTGATAAGCAAGCTCAACTAGACACGCTCGCGGGCACCCACAACCGCGGCACCGACGCTCTCACACGCTCACGCCCACGACTGCACTAATGCTGGCACACGGTGATGATAAACACGCTCACGCGCGTCCAAAACCGTTGCGCCCACGGTGGCACAAGAATACCTTGGAGATTATGGCTGAGGCGAACAGGATGTTGCCATAATCCGCACTTGAAGATGACCCCTTTGACCAGTTAACCTTTACTGATTGATGCTGACTCGTTTGGCTGCCGCAGCTCAAATTTATCTTACGCTTATCTGAAATTTACCTGAAATTGTGTCTGATCCGTTTTCGCGCCGCTTGATTCATGGCAGGCGCCGTGAGGGGTGTGACCTATTTGTTGGGTGCTGTATGTCCCCCTCCCTCCAACCCATGGTCATGGTACACACACCTTCTCTGTGCCCTGTGGAATGTTGAGGGTGGGGTTGATTCAGGGTTGGTTCTAGGGTTGGTTCCAGGGTTGGTTCTAGGGTTGGTTCTGGGGTTGGTTCTAGACATCACGAGGATTTGCTTGGCCGAACTCAAAATCCGTACAGTGGCCACAGTTCGCGCTTTTTGCTGTAGAGCGCATAAATGCAGAGAGACTCGCACCGGCCTCCTCGTATGCCATACCGACTGCTTCTGGCACGCCGCACATCAGGGGCATTTACAATAGGTGCAACTGGCTTCAAGCCGGAATCTTCATGGCTGTTGGCGTTGTGGAAAGCGTTCTCGCATGTGTCCCCCAACCAAAACATGCTGAAGGCGAACGCACCTCCACTGCGGACGCTGTTCAACAGGTCCTGGTTCAGTTTCATTCAAATGAATGCCACGAGCCAACACATATGCCTTGCGGCTGTCGTCACTTCGAGGACAAACTGCCCATCTGCTCCCACTCACCTCGGGAGCAAGCAAGCTTCTGGACTTGCACATTCATTACATCTGGGGTCATTATTTTGCCGGTTCTGGGGGCTATCAAAGTCAGAAAATGGGTTGTTTCCCGTTAACCCACCACTTCGGGGATTACTTTGACCATGGTACAATAATGAGGCTAGTACATCCTACGTCTCAATCAAGCCAGCCAGCGTTTCCGGGCTCCGCGCCTGCCAATAGATGAACAGCTGTCCGCATTCATCCCAGTATGTTGGGAGCCCATTCACTTGCAGATCTCGCCTGTCGAATCACTCACACATCACCTGAATATATATATATATATATATATGTATATATATATATATATTATATACATATATATATATACATATATATATATATTATACCTTCCAGAGATGTTTCCGCCGCCCCGTTTCACATCTCAAAATGCAGACGTATCTATACAGCATGCGTCTCGTTGTTCGACCTCCCAGCGTCTTTCCACACAGCAGCACTCAACAATCAATATCTGCTTGCACTAGGGTACGGCTTTGCGCGTGGGAAAAAACGGCTAAAGTCTGCAGCGTCAATCAATGATGGCCGGAACACTGCATCATTCATCAAACCACCCAAATCACAAGATGCTGCCCAAGTGAGCATAAACGCAGGCTACCGATGGTTAGAAACTTGGTGCAGGATGTTGGCCATCAATTGTATCATCCTACAGAATGGTCAAGGCACCAATGTCCAGCTTTCTTGGATGAGGATGCAACGGGGCAATCGCTGCCGCTTACAAATTGTTCGTGTGCCAGCCTTGCGATGCTGCACCTCTCATGGAAAAGCACGACACGCAAGCTGCTGAGTTCGGACGGGCGCAAGACCAACCGAAAGTATAGCCGATAGCAAAGCATACTTCGCTGCTCTGCCAAGTCTTTGCTGAAACCAAAAGCCAAAAGCAGAGATGAAGGTCTCATGACTTCAATGAGCAAAGGCTGTATGAGGGCTCCCGTGACTGTAGCACAAAATGGGATGCCTCAATCTCCCGCACATGGACCGGACGTTTAGGCGTCGGGTCGACCTCCCATCTGCAGAGCTACGGGGAAGAGCTGGCTACGGATGTCTAAAGCCAAGTTGCGGCAAACGAGTTTGAGAGGCCTTCCACCAACTAGCGTAGCATTTGTGGGAGGGTACCTGGAAGATGCATTTCCTGTAGGGACCCTCTAGGTGCCATGGCAACGTGGGAGGAGGGGTACAGCCCGGCGAGGCAAGATGTTCAGCGTGCCGAGGGCAGCAAAAGCCCGTGTCTAGATCTGGACACTTCGCAGCCAGCAAACGGATCAGGGACATGCATGGCCCGCAAGGCGCCACAGGAAGCAAAATGATACGAGGCCTCATATGTAGGTAGCGTAGATTCTAGTACATCTTAGTGGCTTCTCTTGCGCAAAAAAAGGCCCAGAGGTTGCCATCTTGGTAACAGCCTCCTGAAACCTGCCGGCGCGCCCGCCTCGACACAAGCTGTCAACAACCCTTGCTTGTGCTGACTTCACATCATCTCCACAGAAGTAGAGAAGCGCCAGATTGAGTGGGCTCCAGCGAAAACGGAGGCAATGAGGGCTCAATCTTCAGGATGGAAGGCTCAATCATCGTAGTCTCGAATGGTCTCAGAGGAACCCCATTCCATTCGCTTTCCTGCAGGCAAACTTTCACAGGCTGAAAGCCAAGCAGCTCACAATTGTGGCAAGCCCCGTGATGTTTCGAGAGGAGAGCAACTGTGTCTCTTGGACCAGTGGCAAGGCTCATCCCGCGAATGCCCTACGTAATTCTTTTGGAACAAGCAAAGGACAAGGCCAGCTGATCCGCGCTCCATCACGTCCATCTTGTCCCACCGTATACTTGAGCCTGAGCAGCAGGCTCAAAAAATGCGCGCCGCTCTCTAAGCAGAATGCACCAAAAAAAACGCCGGCGCTTGCGCCAAGGCACCTTCTCACAAGAAGAGCCTTCTTCTCCTCATGACTCAGCTTGCCGTTCAGGTCGACCTGACTCCAAACTGTCGCGCCTCTCCAGTGCAAGATGAGGTTGCAATTGTCCCCGTAAGCTGGCTCCAAGCTCTCCAAGCCAGCGCAAGATGAGGGCAGTCTTCCACAAGCAAGCGGAGAGCTTCTGAGAAGCGGGCAAAATGGCGCGCCATACTGTCCCAGTCGTTCTCCTTGGCATTTCGGAGCTGATCTGTGGAACCCGGATTTCCAGATAACTTGCTGGTGCGATAGGTAGGGAATGAGGGAACGAACCCAGGGGTGTCCTTAAAGGAAACCACAAGGGATGGTCTATAAGGGTCATTCCCTCATTCCTTGCAGCAAAATGAATGATGCCAGGCGACAAACAACATCTGCAATAGTGCCCCCTCTTCTGTGTCTTGGAAGATAGTTGCTGTCACGGCAGCATACCTTTGCTCAAACAGATTGACCAGAGACACTGAGTAGTCCTGCTCACGTCTGCAATCATGCGCCAAGCAATGTCTGGAAGTATGTTCGAAGTCATGACAGCGTAAATGACCTTTCATTCCTACATCTTCATTTGGCTAGCTTTATTGGCTTGCCCTACCTCTCAAGTTCATGCTCAAAATATGACAGATCGGTTGCTCATGCTTGTGCTTCTCAAAGTGTGCGGGAGCATCAGTCCAGTGCGTCGATGGAGAATGATGATGAACGACGTGGTAGTCCTGGATGCGCTGCATCAGCTTTGTCTTTATGTTGACAATAACGTGCAATGGGTGCCGCCGCCGGAATCAGTGTGTCCTCGTTAAAGGTATTATCATGGCCATCAAGAATCGTGACCGAATTAACATATTGATTGCCAGGATCCTCACGTGGCCGCGAATTGATGTGGAGGCATCCAGTCACTGCCAGCACAGCTATTGCTACGGGCAAATCTGCCACTTGCAAACTAAGGCAAACACTGACTCCTCCACAAAAGCGTGCCACAAGTATGAAATCGCACACAAGAGGATCATACCTCCCAGCAGCAAGCACCAAAATGGAGATGCCCCGTCCCTCTCACCGCTCTGCCACGGCAATGGTGAGATGTGAGATCGCATGGAGGCTCATCAACCAGCACTTAAGAGAGTCTACACAGTCCACCCGCCTTCGAGGTGCGCGAAAATCCAATAGACTATGCAAAAGACCGGATTCCAGAGCAACATCAAGAGCCTTGTCATGAGTTCTTGCAATCAGGTTGAAATGGAAAGCTTCCGTGCCACCAGGAAGCGTCACGCCATAGTAGGCCGACATTCCATACAGCAACTTTCTCACAAGATACCATTCCTTGGACTATGCAACACAAAACTCGGTCTCCCATGGGCATCTTCCCATGCTGCGACCGCCGGCCGCACCCTGAGGTGAGTCTGATGACAAGGCCACCGCACAGGCTCGAGGAAACAACGAGTGGGATTGGTTGATTTCTGAGTCTGAGCTGAGACTCTCCTCGCTTTGCCAGGAAAGCAACGGGGCTGATACCCATCCAATAGAGGCTGAAGCGCGGTACATAGACAAAGAACCTGGGATCGCAGCATTGGGCAACTTGAAACAAAGCAGACAAAAATGAAAACTATCTGCGGTGTGCGCTCAGGCTGTCAGTTGGCGACGACAGCTTGGTTCGGTCCAGGTCCAAATTGGTGTGCACGTCGTCAACATCATTGTGCCAACGGTGATGAATCTTCATGTGCGCGACGCTGTAACTGTTCCTGAGAAAAGCGTCCTGCTCTGGGTGCAACACAATGCAGACTGCCAAGAGTCAAGTCACCGGAGGCACTGCAGATTACACAAACCATGACTGCAAGCAAAGCTCGGAACCACACCGTAGAATGGTCCAAGCCACCATTCGCACCTGGGAGACCAAGACAATCTGCAGGCAAGGGCTCACAGCCCCAAAAAGCTGAGATCGGTTTGTTTTATCTTGTGTGGCATCCAGGTTGACCTCGAAGCTAAGCGTTAAGACCAGCACAGGTAGTTCAGGATCTGGAAGGGCTTTTTGAAATGTCCGGTGTGTGCCTTGGAGCGCGCTTAAACACATAGCGAAGTCTTTGAAACATATGAGTGTGTCCTTTTTCAGTGGTACCCCTTTTGGTGTTGAAGGGGGACCGAAGGAAAACCAACCATTGTGGGGGGTCCCCAATTCTGAGACACGCCCATAAGTTCAACCATCTTGGCCGACGGAGAGTTGGCTAAGTGCGGCCCAAGCTCATGACCTTCCTTGTGCACAAGCGTGTGAGCATGCCCAAAGAATCGGAAGCGTGGCCCACCGCGGCAGACATGGTACATGACCTGCAGTCACGTCAAGTGTCAAACCCAAAGGCCACGCACTCGGCACATCACAAACGGCCGATCTATCTTGCTTGCGGTTGTGAAGAGTGGTTCGGAACTGCCGCGAATTTTCGGCTTAGTCCGCAGCAAGAGTGGAAAATTCCAAGCCTCAGCCATTCAGCCATGAAAAACTCTTCTCTTTTGCCGAGCGGAAAAAGCTGCAAGTAAGCCCCTCACCATAGTGATGATGGCGGTACATGGCATAAAAGAAAAGCAACGGCGTGGAGGTGCACATCAAAGCCAACCAAGGCCTGAGAGAGCGCTCCGAGCTCCAAGCGAGCTCCAAGCGAGCTCCAAGCCGACCACTTTCTGGGCTTCGAGAAAGGGAAGAAAGACCCCCCGAAATTGAAACCATCTGTGGCTTTCTTTCAGATCATTTCAACCAAAACCAAAACCGAAAGAAAGCCAACTGTTCTATGGTTTTATGGCTTTCTTTCAGAGCCCCCAAAACCGATTCATTCAACCACCCGGAACAGTCACCTAAGGCGGCAAGAGCCTCGAGCTGAGCTGGAGACAAGTAGGAGTGATTGCGCGGATCTTGAAGCATAATGCGCCCTAGTGGCCTCAGGGACTGGACAAACAATGTAACAACCCGGCGGCGCGTTCTTACCATCCTCATGGACCCCGGTTTTCTGGTTCTTCTGTGTGTGTCTCTTGGTTTTCTAGTTGGTTTGGGAGCTTTTTGGGGGGGGTGAGTGTTCTTTAAAAGGATGCCAAGCTTCAGCAACCATGAGTCGTTGCTTCGAAAAAAGGCCCCGGGGGCCTGGACACCGAGCGGATCAGTTCCGGCATCGCGCTGGAGCAGCGGGCAAACTTTGGATGGCGCCTTAGCAGGTTGGGCAATTACTAGGAAGGAAGGAAGGAAGGAAGGAAGGAAGGAAGGAAGGAAGGAAGGAAGGAAGGAAGGAAGGAAGGAAGGAAGGAAGGAAGGAAGGAAGGAAGGAAGGCAGGAAGGCAGGAAGGCAGGAAGGCAGGAAGGCAGGAAGGAAGGAAGGCAGGAAGGCAGGAAGGCAGGAAGGCAGGAAGGCAGGAAGGCAGGAAGGCAGGAAGGCAGGAAGGCAGGAAGGCAGGCAGGCAGGCAGGAAGGAGGGAAGGAGGGAAGGAGGGAAGGAGGGAAGGAGGGAAGGCAGGAAGGCAGGAAGGCAGGAAGGCAGGAGGGCAGGAAGGCAGGAGGGCAGCAAGGCAGGAAGGCAGGAAGGCAGGAAGGCAGGAAGGCAGGAAGGCAGGAAGGCAGGAGGGCAGGAAGGCAGGAAGGCAGCAAGGCAGGAAGGCAGGAAGGCAGGAAGGCAGGAATACAGGAAGGCAGAAAGGAGGGAAGGAGGGAGGGAAGGAGGGAAGGAGGAAAGGAGGGAAGGCAGGGAAGGAGGGGGAAGGAGGGAAGGAAGCAGAAGGCAGGAAGGAAGGAAGAAACAGAAACGGCCTGCAATTAGCCTTGCGGCCAACCCTTCACATCCCCCCTGGCATTGCAATGGGCTCGCTAAAGCAGGCCCCTCAATTGCTAGGAAATCCCGCGCGCTCCCAGACCTTGAGGAGTGTTCAGAAGGATAGCCGGTCAAACAACTGCTTGCAGCTGAGCCGCCAAACATACATGCACGCATTAAACCAGGCGACATTCACTCCAATCAGCACCTCGCAAGTCAGGGTCATGCCAACTCAGAGCTGTCATTCCTGCTAGTGGAACGATAGGCAAGAGGAGAGGCTGAAAAAAGCGAAGCATCCCGCTGCATGTCACTCTCTGGCGCGTGATGCAGGAATCCGGGAAAGCCCTTCGTCCAGTCATACTGTGGATGGGCGAAATCCTGCACCGTTCTTGAACCATGGGAAGCCACCGTTGGTATTTACGTTGAATCGGATCCTTCCAGACTTTCTGAACGGTGCGAACGGGAGGTCGCCACCATCCACAGGCTTTCTGGCCTGCTGTGCTTCTCCCCTGAGCCCCGCGCTGCAAACAAGGGGGAAATGAAGGCCACTTCAGCAGAGCCCCAAATCAGCGCCACCTGCGCTGATGGAAGCTTATCTGCAGCCGCGTGGAGTGTCTAACGGTCTAACGAGGCCTTGTTGGGCAAGTAGTTCCAAGGGAACGGCTTCCATGCCTGCTGAATCACTGAATCACTGACAATGATATGCCCACATGGCCGCCCTATCTATGTACCAGTCTCTTCCCACCTGCGCCTTGGCAGAGACGCCTTCCTGCGCGCAGAGGCGCTCTGAAAGCAAAGCGGGAGGCGGTTTGACCGGGCGGCCTTCTTCGAGTCGGATGCCATGAACGGACGGCCCCCAGGTCCGAGGAGTCTACTTTTTCAACCAAAAGCTGCGCTGGCAGCTTCGCATCAAACATGACATCCATGGGGAAACGCAGAAGGCGGTCACTCACACGGACAAGTCAAGCATGAAAAGAAAACATGCTCCAATTGATTGAGATGGACAAAGCAAAGATCTTCCACCTTGCAGTGAAGGTCACGTTGAAGCGCTTCATCCTCGGGTCCAATCTTCCCAAATTTGCGCTGCAATGCAATGCAGTGCAATTCAGATCCCAGAACTTGTTCCTTGTCTTTTGAAACGGATGCGGGTCAAGAAAAAAATGGGAAAACTGCCGTCCAATTCCTGTTTTTTTCTTATTGACCCATAGAATTCCAACTGCCTCTCGCTTTGGGCAGCGGCTGGAATCCCTCCATCTCGAAGACCTCCGGAAGCTCCGGGCGACAGTCCTGCCAACCGCGCAGCGCTGAACCGCCGAACCGCTCACTCAACGAGCGCGGACGGGCGACCTGTGAGTACTGCCACCGGCAGGGAGACCGACCTAAGCGAACCCATGCCACCTGGTGTCGCCAGAATGGTCCCCCGCCACGAGGAAGGTTCAGGGGACATTTTTAGAGGCGAAGGTTTCGAGGGCTGCGCTTGTCCCGGAAGGGGCGGGGGGGAAGGGAGGCGGGGGGGGGGGGGGGATTCTAGGTTTGCCTGTCTCAGAGAGCACGCGTCAGGAACAACCGTCAAAGTCACGTCGCAGAATTCATGCGATCTCTCTAAGACTGCAGCTTCGTTTGGAGTCAGGATTCCTGCCAGGCTGCGGTTGTCATCTGCAGACATGTTCAAACTCATTGCCCCTTCCCTGGATCTGAAGAATCGGCAATGACGCTGCTTTCCGATGACAGCTTGCATAATGCCCTTCTGTTCTTCACCAGATTCCTCTGCATGTCAGCTTGCCTTGACATTCTACCATCCAGAGAATGCGGGCCTTAGCCACAGAATGCTAGTAGAGCATTCATAAATGCATTCACTCTCGTACAAAGTAAAACTGATTGCGAGGGAGCACCATGCTTCAAATTGATCTCTACTGATCCCAGAGCCATGCACTATGTTGAAAGTGACCATGCAAGCTCTTGTCGAACACCCGATATCTGCCCACTAAGCTGCCTCAGCCCAGTCCATTTTGTTTTCAGGGAGAGGCACTTGCTGCAAAGTACAAGTGTGAATACAAGCTGCGACCTTGCATTTGCAGAGGTGCAAGCAGCACATGAAAAGATTAGGGCACGAAATGCGCCATCACTTCAAAATGGTTGTTTTACAGGCAGGTAAAGACATTTCGCAGCCACCAAGAACGGATTTTGTGTGCCAACGGAACCATATGCTTAAAGCAACCGCTTTGAGTGCCTGTGCTTCCAAGCTTCGTCGAATGAATTCCAATTGCACTCTCTCTGGTGCTCAGTGAGCTTACAACTGAGAAGCGCCTTCCTGTAATCCATACAAACCAGCAGCAGACAATCCAGGTCGATGCTGGATTCGGCCAGGTACTCTCCTTGGGAGAATCCTGAACGGGTCCATTAACAGCTCCTTGGTCACACGTGGCCGGATTCGGTGTGCTTCTGTCTCTGACTCTCCGTTTTGTCTCTATCTCCCAGTTGGGGGAGCCCTTGACTCGTGTGTCGGGCAATGACACGAACGACACAAAGCGGCAACTTCGTGAGGTCACCTCATGAGTAATCGAAACCCGGCATAAAAATTTGGGCCCATGCTTCCAGAAATCGAAAAATGCTCGGCCTTCCGCACCAAGACAATGGCCAGGGGAGTCTCCCTTCTTCGCTTTCATCTGCCCCGAAACCGTTTTCAACCACTGGCTCTCTGTTCAATTGGGTATGGGTCCATGTGTCCACTTGCCAGGGTTCCATTGGGGGGTTTCCCGCTTTTTGACCCACGGCCATTTTGCGAAAAGAAAACTCCGGCACAACTTCGGCTCCCTCACCTTTTGGCCAGGGGTAGCACTATTAGCTCGCGGCCCATTTTTGGGGGTAACGCCCCCCCCCCCCCCCCCCGCAAAAAAAGGAAAAAAAAAGAAGAAAAAAAACGTGTGTCTGGATTGAACAAGACCGGTGCGCGCTTGCATGTGTTACTTCCATGCTGAAAACGTTTTTTGGGCCGTGCAGGCTGCGCAAAAGATCTGAATGTTCGACCAAAGCGCCGCTCTCAGAGAGTAGTGACTTCACTCTTGCGCGTCGGCAGAGCTTCAGTGGTAACACGGTTCTTCGAAGAGTTCCTTAGCTGAACTTGACATGCTGACGCGTGATGGCTGGTCAACGCATCACTGGTGACAGGTGCATGATTCTGGTCTCTGCAACTGCATTGCTTGTGGTGTGTCGTTTTTCCAGGGTTCCCCTTTTTGTGGGTTTAAAAGGGAAACCAAACGGAAACCCACCTGTTTGGGGGGTCCAAATCCCAAAAGGAGACACGCCCTTCCTTAATCAGTCCTGGTGTCTGTTGAATATCCTTCAATTCGGCAACTGAGCTTTGCAGGCCTCCGATGCCACTCTGCACTTCATGTTGCGTGTCGATGACTTGCCTTGCCAAAATCCTCCGCAACTCGCAAGAACCAGGTGGCTGTGGGTGAAAAAAATATATACCAAAATGCTATGGCAAGTGGAACAAAGGCCAAAACCTGCGGCTTGCCCCAGTTGAAAAATGAGCCACACCCAGGTCTTGCTTTCGCAGCTTGCAGCCCAAGCGCGCCACAGGTCACCTGGATGGTGGCGAAATCCATTTCGCGCCGTTCAGAAACCCAGGGATTCGATTCCCCGACTTTTAAACGCCTAGGTGTCCTCTTGGACAAAATAGATGGGTTTTTTCCTGGTAGTTGATTGAACCACCAGGTAAACCAGGAATCGCTCTCTATTGTTCAACCAAATCAACCAAAAAGGACACCTGTGCCAACAAACGTTACGGTTTCACACCATGGTTGCCTCAAGCGGTGCGAACGGATCTTGCCCAAAAAGCTGGCCTCTTCCCATGCCATAAAGATGACCAGGGTGTCCCGTTCAAGCAAAAACGCAATACTCAGCCAGGTTCGTGCAGACAAAAACCTGCGATCGCTGCGACAGGTAGCGAATGAAGCATGGAATGAACCCTTTGAGGATTCCATCAAAGGAAACCACAAAGGATGGTACTTATAGGGGTCATTCCATTTCTCATTCCTTGCTGAGCAAGAAAACGGTGAGCAACGCACGGAGCATTCTGGGCACTGGACGGAGAACCAGATGCAAGTCCAAGCCCTGCGCCACCCCCCTGGCGCGTGAAACGTCGGCTCAAAGCCAACAGTCTGTGGCAAAACTCCTATGGGTATGGGTCAAAATTAAGCCACCAGGGGACCGCCTGTTTTAGTCATGGGTTCCATTTACCAGGGTTCCATTTTGGGTACCCATTTTTGACCCACAGCCATATGAGAGTTTCTTAAAATAGGGGGCCCTGCTTGAATGGGTTTTAAGAAAAAAACGATAAGAAACCACCCTGGAGGGGTCACCGACTTCGAGAAACAGCCATATGCATATGGGTCAAAACTAGTCACCAGCAATTGGACAGTTTGAAATGTCAGTGCTTCCATTTACCAGGGCAAGCGCGCCATTTGGGGGTTGGACCCACTTCTTGACAACCACAGCCATTAGTCGTTAGGGCTGGGGAGGCTTTGCCGCCTGAAGCGCATGCAGCCTTCCCGGAACTCGTCGTAACCTTGGACGCGCGCCGAAAGCTGTTGGTTGGATCCAAATGGCAGTGGCTCAAAAAACCGGTACCAAAATGGAACCCCGGTAAGTGGAAACATGGACCAAAACCTGCGTAACCCCTCCTGGTTCATTTTGAGCCACACCCAAATGAACTTGACAATATCCACAATCCAACCAAACCTTCGCCCTCACATCAAAGCTTCTTGCAAACGTGAGTGATTAGGCTGATACTGACATTTCCGTTGTCATCCGCGTCCTTGGCTCCAGTCAGCAATGCAGTTGCGCTACAAGCGCTAGGCTGGTGCAGTCAAGCACTAAGCTCTCTATGCGCAGTGGAGATTCCAGGAGTTCCATGAAGCTCGTCTTGTCGTAAACGTCAAAGCCAAGCACCCGGAAGAAGGCATCCATAGTGGCCTGAACCAATTGGAAGCCCCCGCAATCCTTCCCAAATGCGGGTAATGGCGCCACCAGCATCCCGATCGAGTGGCATCATCCAAGAACCAAGCGAGTTCCTCCATGGATATCTCTCCGGTCTGATTGACATCCACTGCATTGAAGAAGGCCTCGATCAATGACATACACCTCAGCTTTGAACAAGAAACTGAAACAAGAAAGACACGACACAGCCGAATGTGTCAGGGCGCGCATATGCTCAAGCAGCAACTGCTGTGCAAATTGTGGCACCGTGGCACTGCGGCAGGCAGGCCAAAGGCACCAAAACGAACGGCTCCAAAAAGTACAGTTTGTTGCCATTTCATGTCACACTCAATCTGCTGAAAGCTGCCTTGACAGTCTGTCGAATGTGCAATCTGTGCTTCATGAGCGAACTGCTACGCGAGAAGAATAGCTGTCATTCTGTATAAGGATGTGATGCAAAGCTCATCTCTAGCATCATGGCTATGAGGTACGTGTCACACAAAACAAGTGTTCACAAATGGCGGCCTTGCATGGTGTTGTCACTCAATGCGATTGCATGCCAGTCTGAGCGAACACCATGTGCCTGAACTGCAAAACAAGTCCCTGCACTGATTCATGAAAATGAGGCCGAGCAACTCCTCTTTCTTGTCAATCTCCTTCAGGCATCGCAAACACGGCAAAGCTCGTGCATGTTCATGGAGAATGCCAACTGAAGCGCGGCACAACAACCAAGCCGCACCCTCTGGATGATGTCGATGTGCTGCTTGTCAGCAGAGCGAAAAGCATTGTCAACAAACACACCTGCATCGGGCTGCTCCAATGACCGACGTGTCACATGTTTTGACAGAGCCCTGTCAAAGATTCTGATACTGATACAGTTAAAGACAAATTGCCCTCAACAACTTCCCACACCCTCGAGCCTGTAATTACATTTAAAACCGCCAGCATGGTGAAAGATATGTACAGTAGCAGCCTGAGCCGTGCAGCAATGCAATGAAAACGTTGGCACGGAAAGATCATTCATCTGCTAAGCCTCCAACAAGCTTACAGGCAGCCAACCAATGCTGAACAAAGGCTCCAAAACCTCATGCCAACTCACCTGGGCAAGCTCGACGAATCAAGACGCAGCAAAAAGACACAAAAAGACTCGCAGCGGTTCATGTCAGGGTGCGCCATCAAGCACTGTCTGAGCCAGAGTATACACCGTCCATCCCAGGCAGCCGTATGAAGACCAAATCAATCTCACCTCACCGTGCAAAGGCCATGGGCTTTTCAAAATCCAAATCGGTTAGCCCCCAGGGATTCAATCCAACCACTAAAGTCGGTTCTAAAATGGGTAGTGCACCTACCCCAAAATAAAATAGTACCATTGGTTTTGACCCACAGCCATATCCCAAAGTTATGCTGTTCCAACATACTGATCCTCCACCTTCAGCAACTTGAGAGCCGCACGTTGATGTCCTGGTGGTGTGCAAGGCTGTCATACCTTGGCTACACAGCACACAAAGCAACCTAACAAAAATTGCAATAATACTGTGGATGGACGAATCCTGCACCACTTAAGAACCCCTGGAATGAGAATTCCTTTGTAAATACCAACAAACCATGGTTTCCCATGATTTCAAAGTGGTGCAGGATTTCGTCCATCCACAGTATTGTCGTTTCATGGGGTTTTGCCGCCTGTGCACAACATCCATGCAGCCCGGCTGCCAGTCAGGCAGAGAGGTGTCGACCTGCGCGGGAGACTTTGCATGCACCAACACGCTGAAGCCTGGGCCTGCTCCGTCAGCCACATCGTCGCCTTGACCACAAGCAAACAAGCAAAACTACCGCACAATGTGCACGCAATGTGCCCACGGCCCGGGAAAAAAATCAAAACGACGCTGCTCTGGTCACAAGAAAAGGCGACTGCCTGCCCGGTCAAAGTCACCGCGAACACGTAAGATATAAGCCCCAGCCTCGGCTACATGACATTGCCAAATAGGGCAAGCTGCTCAAAGGGGAGGCTTTGCTCATACTTGCTGGTAGTGGTGCTTGTCTTTAGATCGCCAAGTTTTAACTACTTGTTGGGAGTGGCGCTTGCCTTTTCATCACCAAGGTTTCAGTACTTGTTGGGTGGCGCTTGCCTTTAGATGTCCTTGTTGGTAATGGTGTTTGCCTTTAGGTCACCATGTTTTAAGATACTGGCGCTTGCCTTTAGATCGCCAAGTTTTTTTTGTCCTTGTTGGTAGTAGTGTTTGCCTTTGGATCACCATGTTTTTAAGTTCTTGACGATAGTGGCGCTTGCCTTGGATGGCCAAGTGCCAATTACTTGTTGGTAATGGTTGTCTTTAGATCACAAAGCTTTAAGTGCTCGTTGCGAGTAGCGCTTGCCTTGAGATCACCATGTTTTAAGTACTTGCTGGCAGTGGCGCTTGTCTTTAGATCAGCAAGTTTCAAGTACTTGCTGGTAGTGGCGCTTGCCTTTATATCAAAAGGTTTAAAGTGCTTGTTGCCAAGTTGTAAGTGCTTGTTGGGAGCGGTGCGTGTCTTCATCAGAAAGTTTTAAGTACTTGCTTGTAGTGGTGCTTGTCTTTAGATCACCAAGCTTTTCAGTACTTGCTGGTAGTGGCGCTTGCCTTTACATCACCAAGATATAAGTCCTTGCTGGTTGCGGCGCTTCTCTTAAATCATAAAGTTCTAAGTCCTTGCTGGTGGTGGAAGTTTTAGTCCTTGCTGGTCGTGCTGGTGCTGGTGCGTGTCTTGAAATCACCAAGTTTTAAGTACTTGCTGGTAGTCGTGTTTGCCCTAGTTTTGAGTACTTGCTGGTAGTGGAAATTTTAAGCACTTGCTGGCAGTGGTGCTTGTCTTAAAATCACCAAGTGTTCAGTCCTTGCTGGTAGCGGAACTTTACGCTAGCGGACCAGAAACCGCGCTCAACGGCGCGCACTTTTTTCCTGCGTAGCACCGCCGCTTCGCCCTGGCACTGCGCGCGCGCGCCTGACCATGATAGCCGCACCCGCTCGACTGCTTCGTTATAGCACGCCTGACCACGGTGGTGCTTCGCTACAACGCTGCGCACACGCCTGACCATGGTAAGCACACCCGCCCGACTGCTTCGTTATAACACTAAGCGCACGCCTGCCTGACCATGGTAAGCACACCCGCCCGACCGCTGCGTTACAAAACTGCGCCCATGCCTGACTATCCATGGTAAGCGCACCCGCCTGACCGCTGCGTTCTAAGACTGCGCGCACGCCCGTGGTAAGCGCACCCGCCCAATTGCGGCACTGTAACACTGCGCGCACGCCCGTGCCCGGCCCAACTGCTGCGTTATAACACCGCGCGCACGCCTGACAACGGTACGCACACCAGCCCCAACTGCTTCGTTATAACACTGCGCGCACGCCTGACCATGGTAAGCGCACCCGCTCGGCTGCTTCGGTATAGCACGCCTGACCAAAGATGTCTTTCGGGGTCGTCTGCCACACTGGCACGATAGACTCTACCTGGTCAAGCTCATCGTTTTACACTGTTTTCGAACTTTGGCACATCCGGCTCGGAAATCGCAACTTTGTAGTAAAAGTCTAGTACGCGAAATACACTTCCGTAACTCCAGATCGAAAATCGCGAAATACACTTCCGCAGCTCCAGCTCGAAAATCGCAACGTTGTAGCACAAGTCCAGTACGCGAAGTAGACTTCCGCAGCTCCAGCTCGAAAGTCGCGACTTTGAAGTACAAGTCTAGTACGCGAAGTACACTTCCGCAGCTCCAGCTCAAAAGTCGCAACTTTGTAGTACAAGTCTAGTACGCGAAGTACACTTCCGCATTTCCAGCTCGAAAATCGAAACTTTGTAGTACAAGTCAAGTACGCGAAATCCACTTCCGCAGCTCCGGATCGAAAATCGCAACTTTGTAGTACAAGACAAGTACGCGAAGTACACTTCTGCAGCTCGAAAGTCGCAACTTTGTAGTACAAGACAAGTACGCGAAGTACACTTCCGCAGCTCCAGCTCGAAAATCGCAACTTTGTAGTACAAGTCTAGTACGCGAAGTACACTTCCGCATCTCCAGCTCGAAAATCGCAACTTTGTAGTACAAGTCAAGTACGCGAAGTACACTTCTGCAGATCGAAAATCGCAACTTTGTAGTACAAGACAAGTACGCGAAACACACTTCCGCAGCTCCAGCTCGAGAATCGCAACTTTGTAGTACAAGACAAGTACGCGAAACACACTTCCGCAGCTCCAGCTCGAAAATCGCAACTTTGTAGTACAAGACAAGTGCGCGAAGTACACTTCCGCAGCTCCAGCTCGAAAATCGCAACTTTGTAGCACAAGTCTAGTACGGGAAGTACACTTCCGCATCTCCAGCTCGAAAATCGCAACTTTGTAGCACAAGTCTAGCGCACGAAGTAGACTTCCGCAGCTCCAGCTCGAAAATCGCAACTTTATATTACAAGTCTAGTACGCAGAGTACACTGCTCCAGCTCCAGCTCGAAAATCGCAACTTCTCAGTGCAAGTGTCGTATTTACGAAGCACACCTTGGCAGCCTATGGTTTTACGGTGGCCGCGCAAGGGTCCGCACTAAGTTGCAACTGCAGGGGTTATTATAGAGCCGTGTGATAGCTAAGGGTTATCGTTTTTGGGGCAGACCTTATCGTTTTCCACGGTTTTGGCATGTGCTTTACAAAAACGTACCCCGCCTTGATAAAGTGGTCTTCGTATGTTTTGTCCGTGGCTCATATGTCCCGAATTTGCTGCCTTCGCGCACCCACATCTCCTCTTGTATGTAAAGGCTTGGCAGTGGTGCGATGTCTTGCGCCAGCGAGATGTGGAGCAGCAAACTGTCGTAGCGATCGCAAAGATGTGAAAAAGGAGAAAGCAAAAAATGGGTGAATTTGCGCTTCGCCTCAGCGAAACGCAAAGCACCTGTAAAACTGAGCCCTCTTTTTGGGAGGTTTGTAGCGGACTCAATGTGCGTTTCGCTGAGGTGAAACGCGATGTTTTTCAGAAAGGCGGCAAAACGCGAGCGCGAATTTCGGTCCGCCGGTAAGATTAAGTACTTGCAAGTAGTGGTGTGTGTCTTGAGATCACCAAGTCTTAAGTCCTTGCTGGTAGTGGAAGTGTTAAGTACTTGAAGGTAGTGGTGTTTGTCTTTAGATCACCAAGTTTTAAGTACTTGCTGGTAGTGGAAGTTTTGAGTACTTGCTGGTACTTGCTTGTCTGTAGATCAACAAGTTTTAGGTCCTGGCTGGTGGAGGAAGTTAGAAGTACTTGCTGGTAGTGGTGCTTGTCTTTAGAACACCAAGTTTGAAGTCCTTGATGGTAGTGGAAGTTTTGAGTACTTGCTGATAGTGGTGCTTGTCTTTAGATCACCAGGTTTTAAGTCCTTGATGGTAGTGGAAGTTTTGAGTACTTGCTGGTAGTGGTGCTTGTCTTGAGATCACCAAGTGTTCAGTCCTTGCTGGTAGTGGAAGTTTCGAGTACTTGTTGGTAGTGGTGCTTGTCTTGAGATCACCAAGTTTCAAGTCCTTGCTGGTGATGGAAGTTTTAAGGACGTGCGGGTAGTGGTGCTTGTCTTTAGATCAACAAGTTTTAAGTCCTTGCTGGTGGTGGTGCTTTTGTTTTCAGATCACCAAGTTTTAATTCTTTGCTGGTATTGAAAGTTTTGAGTACTTGCTGGTAGTGGTGCTTGTCTTGAGATCACCAAGTTTTAAGTCCTTGCTAGTAGTGGAAGCTTTGAGTACTTGCTGGTCGTAGTTCTTCTTGTCTTTAGATAAAAGTCCTTGATGGTAGTGGAAGTTTTGAGTACTTGCTGGCAGTGGTGCTTGTCTTGAGATCACCAAGTTTTAAGTCCTTGCTGGTAGTGGAAGTTTTGAGTACTTGCTGGTAGTGGTGCTTGTCTTGAGATCAACAAGTTCTAAGTCCTTGCTGGTAGTGGAAGCTTTGAGTACTTGCTTGTCGTAGTTCTTGTCTTGAGATCACCAAGTTTTAAGTCCTTGCTGGTAGTAGAAGTTATAATTAGTTGCTGATAGTGGCGCGTGTCTTGAGATCACCAAGTTTCAAATGCCCCCCTTGCTCAGGACGTTCTCGCCCGCTCCCTTTGTTCTACGACCGAAGATGGCCAGGCCTTGACAGTTTGAACAGTGTTTGGCTGCCTCACAAAGCTTTCCTCGACAGGCCCATCCCAACAAATGCAGAGTTCAAGATGCGGCGAGTGGAGAAGGCTGATGAAGATGGATTGAACAATGTACCCCCGCGCTCAAGTTTGCAGCTATGGGACATAAACATGGCCCACAGCAAAGATCTGATCGAATCTATGATCATCAGGGCCAGTCGAGCTAGCCTAGGCATCACCATGCATCTTAGCTCGTTGGAATCAAACAGCTGAGACTCGAGCGGCCGGAAGAAGCGGAAGACACGGAAAATTCCTCAGCTAGTCTCTTGGAGTGGGGCCCGCGTGGCCCAGCGCCCAGCGGAAAAGCTTGCAACTCACTTGTGGTATCTGTACAAGCGCAAGAATCTGAGAATGCGAAGCATCTTCAGCATCCTGGGCTTGTCAGACGAGAAGGCTCGAAGTGTATCGCGCATCCAAGATGCTTGTTTGCCGAAACAACATGCGGCACAAGAGTCTTGACGCTGCCCACTGCTCCGGTGCTTGCCTCTGTCCCCAGAGCCAGAACAGAGATTTCATCCACCACCGCGAGCACAACCAGGATGAAGTCCTGCGAGCTTCCGAAGAGATACCCAAGACGTTTCGCGCATTGGCTACGGGCCATCAAAGGATTGCATCATCAAAAAAAGAAGAAGAAGAAAAAAAACACCGAGTGCCCTGCAAAGATGTTCCAAGCTCTTCGTTCGCGATTGAAGAAGAAGTCCATCCGGAAGGCATACAAGCGAAGAATCAGCTCCACGAGGAAGACCAAGTTGCAGAAGGACGAGAGCGCCTCGCCGCGCGCGCTCGGGCGCTCGCGCGCTCGCGCGCTCGGGCCCAAAATTTCGGAGGTTCGAGCTCTCACGACAAGCTCGCTGGTGCGATAGGCAGAGCACGCCCAAGTGGGGGGAGGTGTTGGGAAAAACAAAAAACCCTTCGGGGCCTAAGGAAACCGGATCTGGGCATGGGAACTGGAATCTATGGATTCCCTTGAGGCAAAAAAAAACTCGGGGCGCGGTTTTTTTCTCGGGGCTCCATTCCGATTCCTCTACCGAACCAACCCGCCAGCCAGCCAAAAAGGAAGAAAAGCGGACCGAGGAAAACGAGGCGTCGGAAGCAAATGAAGCGCCTCGATCACGGGGTTCTCCGCGGTGCTGGAGGTGCTCCACTCAACTTCCCAGCCCACGATGAAGGAGTTAAAGAGGATCAGAAAGGCCTCGGACTCCAATCCAAAAGGAAATGGCTGTGGCTCAAAAATCCGGTACCAAAATGGAACCCTGGTAAGTGGAAACATAGACCAAAACCTGCGGTTTGCCCTTCCGATCGTTTAATTTTGAGCCACACCCAAATCCGCTGCTTCACACGTCCTTCTCTCACCTTCCTGGGGACGGCGTACGGCGCTTACGCCGCCGTTCTTTTTCGTTTTTGGGAACGCCGTGTTGGAGCGTGCAAAGCCAAAGGTTTCATGGGTGGTTCTCGAAAACGTTTAAGGTGTCTCAGCGAGAACTCGTTTTGGGGACGCCATCGGAGTGTTGAACCAAAAGTTTGTTGGTGGTTTTGTTTGCAAATCCTCTCGGATATTAGCTCAGGTTAGTTACCCTCAATGTGGTTTGGAGCCCGTCCCTTTGTTCAGAGGCAACCTCTCCTTAGCTACTAAACCACCAATCCAAACCACCAGTTAGAGGGACACTGAACAGAGAAGTCATTCGCATAAATCATGCGAACGGCGATCCGGAAAAAGGATTTGAGATCTGGGGAAGTCAACCATACCCAAGGTGCGATCCTTGGAAGGGAACAAACACGGGGGGAAGTCAACCATACCCTTCAGAGCCCCTGGCTCAACGGCCTCAACGCCTCCACACATCTAATGCCAGGTCACAGCCACGGCATCGAAGAAGGGCGAAGACACCATGCACACCATGGAGACTCCTTTGTCGCAGTTCATCTCCCAACGGCCGCCCAAGATTCGCGAAGCGCTCTCGTTGAACGCCCGCAGCCTGCATCAGTCCAATCGACATCTTTAGCCAGGAAAACATAGGCGGGGCCCCCTCCGTTCCCACTGTCAAGGTTTTGCTCTGTGTTTTTGTTTGATTCATGCGGTTCATAAAAACCCAATGTCCCCGCAAACCCGCATTCCGCCTGCGTCGCATTGCCTCGATGTCATGGTCCTTTGTAATGCCAGCAGATCTGGCCTTCTTGGCCGCATACCTCTGCGAGCCAGGGACGGGGGGGTTGATCCAAAGATCCGTAAAACGTGGGGTTGGAAGCCACTAAGAAATGCGATAATTTGGCTGTGGGTCACAAAATATGTACTGGTGAACATCAAAGGTGGCAAATGGATGTTCATCCACCCCATGGAGCCATAGGTTATGCCCGGCCATTTCAACCACATGGGCAAAGAAATATCCACGTGGGTGCCCGAAGGGAACCCATTGATCAATCAGCTAAGACGCTTCCACTTCTTCTCGCTGCTGGTGCCTTGCAAGTCAGCCGGCTTTGCCTCAGGAAGCCGCTTCACAGCTACCCGGAGCCGCTACTTAGAGCCACAATCAAAACCCGGGGATTGATGAAGGCTAGTACGGGATGGTCCCAGCCATAAATAGCCGCGGATATCCGCCTTCTTAACTCTTGAAGCCTGGCTCCGGGATTACGACCACTTTTGTACCGATCGGTTTTGCTTGCGACTCAGCTGGACCAAAAATTCAGGCTCGCCAATTGGCAGCTCAGATGCGTCGCGGGAACCCGCGGAAGGCACCTTCAGATCAGCTTCGAACACCAATGAGCTCCAGCACTGCTTCTGATGCCGCAAAAACACCGCCCTACACGGAATGGTGCTCGGTGCCTCACCGCCCTCTTACACGGAATGGCGCTCGGTGCATGCAACTTCTAACTTCTCCGGCCGCGCCTCTGACTCCATTTGGCACACCGGCTCCAAAGCCACGCATGGGTCGGGAACATCCTCGTGCGTCTCTTCCTTCGGCCGTAGCTCTTCCAGCAGCCGTCTTTGCCTCCAGCCAACTTGGAAGCGGCTGGGCTCTTTCGGTTAAGCCCAACTGGGTGTGGCTCAGAATGAAAGAGCCAGGGCAAACCGCAGGTCTTGGTCTTTGGTTCCATTTGCCAAGATGGCCATGCATAGGTCAAAATTAAACCACAAGGGGACCGCAGGTTTTACTCCTTGGTTACATTTGCCAGGTTCCATGAGGGCACCTATTTTTGAGCCACAGCCAACTCAGCTCAGCTGCTGCCGCTCCAATCGCGCCAGCTGCTCGTGAAGGGACTGCACGAAGCTGCGGGCTGAACTCACTGATTCAGCCCACTCGGCCTGCTCAAATGCTCGGCAATGCCAAGAGTACCCTTCCTAACATGGCACCTGCGGTCCTTTTGAATGGACCCCCTGTAAGCTGCCATGCTGGGAGAGGCTACAGGGGAGAGAGGGTACAGGATCTAACGCCGCACCTCCGCAGTCTTCAGCGCGAACCGCGCACCTCTCAAGCTCCCAAAAACGGATCTTCTCACTTCCGCCGCTGATTGACTTTTTGCAGCCAAGAAACGAGCGTCCATGGACGACTGCCTGGCCAAACGCTGCGACAACGTTGTAAAGAATCCATGTCCTGCCTGCACTGGTTAAGTCACAGCCATGCGACGCCGTAGTTTGCTGTCTCTATCATTCACTGTCCTTGTCTAGTCTCGTTCGTCGCTAGTGCACACACAGGGGCAACTGCTGATGCAAAGTGTCATCGCAATATAGGCTTTTCAGATTGAGAATAGAATGCGAATGACAAAGGCGCCGGTGCTCATGTAAAGCTGACATTTCCTCACTCGTGTTTCTGAGCCGCAATCCAGTCCAAGCCGGAGAAAGTCATCGCAAAGTGCGAGGCTGATCGGATGTCTCTGAATCAGTTCCAAGCTTCGGACCGCCGACGGAGTGAACCTTGGCCCCCGGTCTGAGAGGCTAGTTCGGTGGCTAGCCAAAAAAACGCGTGCAGCCAAGTTGCCATGTGGGCATCCTGACAGGCACATAACGCAAACTGATGCGGTTGCCTTGTTCCCTTCAGCCAGATTGCTGGTTTGCTAATCGTGGTGTAGTTAAGGTGCATGCTAGACATGTTTAGCTGATTTCGTCCAGTTTGACGACTCGAGCCTGTGCTAGTCGTGCTCCTTTTGCTTCGAGTGCCCTCGAGCGCCTGTATTCTGTGCTAAGGTTGGTTCTATCGTTGTGTTATAATCGGGCCCCCAGTTGTGTGTCTGTTGCTTTATCGTCCGTGTCATGTTGGTTGTGCTGGTCTGTACGCTGTGCGTGTTCTGGCTGTGGGATTCCCAAACAGGTCCAAGAAGTCCCAAGCTGCCTGACTCGATGCAAGCCAGCCGCTTTTTTTTTTGCCCTGGTCCATGTACGGGCTGTCCACTAAGAATATTGATGCATCTGCAACTCTTGCCCGTGAACTCCGGCGGTTCTTAACGAACCAGTGGCAACAACAAGAAGCGCACAAGCCACACCCCGAGGAAGGGTACCTCGAAGATTGGAGGGCTCCCCTGGTGCCATGCTAGTGGATGGGAGGGTAATGATTGCTTTATGGGTGTGGCTCAAAATTAAACAGGAGGGGCAAACCGCAGGTCTTGGTCCATGTTTCCACTTACCAGGGTTCCATTTTATGTTGGTACCGGTTTTTTGAGCCACAGCCTTATGGCTCTGTCTCAAACCACGAGGTGAACTTTTTCAAGCAACACATCTTTGAGAAGTCAACCAGCTTTGACAAACTCTCGCGCTTCATGAGACAGTCTCAGACTTTATACGGTGATGTAGGTACACAACCCTCACTGCCAAAATGAGAATGGAGCCGGACTGGAGATTATGTGGTGATGTGAAAACTGAGCCTGGCATGTAGTTGCGTAGGTCACATTCACTTGGCATGCTTCCAGTTTTGGCAAACAGCCGATCAAAAGGGTGGCACCACTCATAATCTGTAGATCACTGGCTTCATGTTCCTGGCACTCTGCTGCCACTTGAGAGAAGCACCGGTGGTGCAGTGGACCTGTTGCAACTCAATCAGCCCGGATCCCAAGCAAGCCATCCAGAGAGCAGCTGAAATAGACTACAGTGAAAGCTGGCAAACTCAGTATGAGTCAAACATGGGGTACCAATGATTCCACAACAATGGTCATGTTCAATATTTTGCCATCCCAAAATGGGGTTGACAATTTTGACCCACGCCCAACTGTGGAAGTCCTTCGAATGCAAGTTGGAGTATATCAGCATTGGCAGCTAGGTTCTGGACACGCCTGATTCTGGGTCGAAACATAGTTGCATCATGGATATGTTTCTTTGGCGGGAGACGCAGAAGAAGAAAAAAAGAAAGAAGAAACAAAAACGAGTTGGCACAGTCAAACTCGGATCTGGTCAAGATCTGTCCCAAATGCTCGCCTTAGTTGCTTTCCGTCAAGCTGGGCCACCAGTTCTGTTTATCCGATGGCATACAGCAATTCATTTGTGGGCAGCGTAAGGTCGGTCTAGGAGCTCAGTGTGTCATGCACTTGGCAGTGGGGCATGACCAGCATGTCTTTGTCATGTTCTGCTTTCAGCACTGAAGCAACGAGGACGGTGGCAATGGTTTGGGCTCCTAACAGCGCTCATGACTCTGGGCTGCTGTCCTCTCGGGACTTCTGAAAGTCATCTGGGCATCTCGGGGTTGACTGCCATTGCATTATCTAGGCCGAAGCCCCAATGATCAAGTCCACTTGCTGACATCTGTTGAAGGAGGCTTGTGGCTGTCAACAAGGAAGCAAATCAAATCATTGTGGAGCTCTTTGCAATGCGATCTGCTTGATCTATTACCTGGTGCATGATCTAACCAATATTCCGCAGTAGTTGCTTGCATAAGCCCTTTCAGGCTTCACGTGGCTCTACTACGATCCAAGCAAGTTTTGCTTGTAGGAATAGTGACCATGGTGGCTTCTGCTGTACTGCTAAACTCGCGGCAACCATTTCATGCTCAAATGCGCCAATCCGACATCCAGCAAGCACTCTGTTTCAGCTTGCAAACATAGACGCTCGCATTTGTTTTGGTCTGAGCCCTCAGTCTTTGGACGGAGACTGAGCAGGCAGTTGTCCAAGATTCCTGAAACGCGCTACGGAAAGCACATGCCGAAAATGAGACATGCTATTTATGGCTGGGATTGTCCCTTAGGGTGTTGATGGTGGCTCAAATGCGCTATTGGACGCCAGTCATGTCATCTCATGTTCGCCGCTGTCCTCTGCATAACGAAGTGCTTGACCCAAGAAGGTAAACATCGCTTCTGCCAGAATCATCGGATTCAAGGGGTGGCAATGCTGCGAAGCATGGTGTCACGCAACGTGCGCTGAATGGCCTGGAAATCTCGCCATTCAGCTGAGCATCGCCGCTCGGCCTGTTACCATCAGTTTCACCAGCCTTTCTGCATTCCCGACGGAATCCCAACGAAATCCCGCCCATCCTCCGGAGTCATTTGTCCATCGCCACGATCTAAGCAGGCAAAGAAAGCGTCACGGGCTGCCCAGCACCTCATTCCGCACGGAACATGCGCAACATTGCAGAGCAGTACTCACTTGTGGCAGCATTCATTTGGGGCTCAGAATAAAAAAGCTACAAACCGCAAGCGACAGTGTTTGGCGCCCTTTCCCAAGGTGCCATCTTCAGCTTCCCCCCCGAAGTGGTTTGGAGCCCGGTGGCTTGGATTTGTCAAATCCGCCCGGGGGAAGCCACCCCGGTTCACCAAGCCGCCGGGCTCCAAGCCGCCCGAAAATCGAGGGGAAGCTCAAAAATGAAGGGCTTCCACCAGTCTTGATCTTGCCAGGCGATTTTTTCCGGCATCAGTGCGGCGCTCTTTCCGTTTCACTGCGCTGGTCACCTTGCCCTGCAGGGCGGCATGCACGCATCAGATGCTTCAGGCTTGGATCCAGCCCAATGGGACAAACAACAACACATGAGTCACAATCATAGTTGGGATTGTCCCTTACTAACCTTCATCAATCCCCGGGTTTTGATAATGGCTCACATGAGATGCAAACAGGACTTCCCCTTGCTGACATATGGCCATGGGTCAAAATCCCGGTTATCCCCCAGTGAACATCCCAATCCAACCACTAAAATAGGAAGGAAGCGGTTCTAAAATGGGTGGTGAATTCACCGAAAACCAACCAAAATGGGATCCCCAAAACGGTTTTGACCACAGCCATATCTGTGGCACCACCCGGTTGTTCATGCAGAGCAGGGCCCACCTCCTCCGCCAGGACCAGTGGCATCAAGCACCGGTGAAAGACAGGAAGAGTCAAAGCTGACTATTTATCCAAGGAGACCACTCAAAATACAGATCTAAGGTTACACTAGTGGCCAAGGGGTGAACCTTTGTCTGCCTATTTCTGGCTTCGCTGTTCCCTAAAAACTTTCGTCTACCCGGTTTTCCGGATTTGGCTCATGGTGCTAAGCCTGCTGTATGCTTGCATCTTTCCATGCAGTCAAGTGAGCCAAGGAATTTCCACGGAGCTGTATCGTGGGCTGCCAAGTTGCTTCGTTGATTGCAAGTGTGTGGGTGTGTGTGTGTGTGTCTGTGTGTTGGTGTGTGCGTGTGCGTGTGTGTGTGTGAGAGAGAGAGAGGAAGAAAAAAAAAACAAGGTGCAAGTTCATGCTTACATGCTTGTCGTTGAATCTACAAACCACGCGCATTGGAGACAACACTTCAACTTCACAAGACGATGCCAGCCAACTTTCAAGAATCTATCAAGTCACCGACCATTGAGCAGCATGCAAATTTTGCAGCAAGCGAAGGCAACATCTGTACAAGTCGGACGACGAATCAGCCGTAGATCGTGAAAGGCTTCCTGGCAGTCTCAGGTACGCTTGCTAAATTACTTGCTTTGCAGGTTCTGCTATACACTGACTGGTGCACGGCAGTCCCCATGGTGCTCTTGATGTGCAGGCGCCTCCGCCGTGCAAGCAATCTTTGAAAAACCTATATCCGCCAAATAACAGCCACAGTGTCAGAGAATGTTGATTCCAAGCATGCTTCACATTGAGGACGCGGCTTCACGTTGTTCCAATTCTTCTTCAAGAGCGAGACCAAGAAGTTGATGGCCATCAAGCAGTTTTGCCTGGCCATTGCGAGTGAAGGGCACATACACCGCGCAAAAAATCTGAATCGAGTTGCTGGGCCTCAGCTCGTCCGGGTTCATGCCCACGTTTCCCACTGCAACGCCCATGCACAACACCTGGCACTGCTCTGCCGCAAGCTTTCTGATTGGCACCGTCGAATGCACTCAAAGTCTACACAAAGCTTGTCAAACCTTCTTCAGCTGGAACTTCACCTGGCTGCGGACCTCTGTCACCTCACGAATGCAGGTCAGATCTGGTCACTCCCAAGCCACAAGTACGAGCTTCGGCCTGTAACATCTCCAAATTGTGGCTGTGGGTCCAAAAAAGGGTAACCCCAAAATGGCGTAAGGCCTGGTAAATTTAAATGGAAACATGGACATTTCAACCTGCGGTCCAATTCCTGGTTTCATTTTGACCCACATCCTTACTAAGCCCACAGCCTTGGTCTCCAAGTTGTCGGCGTGCTGCACAAGCGTCGGGAACTTGCCTGCCTCAAGTGCAAGCAATGCCATGATGCGTGCCCTGGAATGGATCCCCTGCCAAAAAAAAAAGCGTCACAATCCAAACCCGGTATTAAACTGGTCCACCCAGAACCATGTACAGAATTTAGCAGTCGGCCGCAGCTATTTCTGGTTGGGATCAACCCTTACTAACCTGCATCTACCCGAGTTTTGATTGTGACTCACTTGTGGGTTTAATGGATAAGGAAAAAACTAGAAACTTAAGACAATGGCTGGGAACCCACCGAGTGCCAGAGGCAAATCTTTCTGTTGGCATACATGCTAATACTCGTGCTTCAAGACCGCTCAAGCACACCTTCACAGGCTTTCTTAGCTACTAGTGTCCCCTGCCACACCAAAAGCAGAAGGCCGAGCCTTGTTCAAACCAGGCCCCAAGAGACGAGGAATCTGAGGAATCAAGACCTGGCGCGGTCGCTTCGCGACGGTCGCTTGCCGGCGCCGATCGCTGCACGCTGGAAAGTCGGCGACCCGAGCCTGGGATGCAACGAATGCATCGAAGGAGTCCGCAAGCTTCTTCACCATCTTCTTGTTCTTGTTCAGCTTCTTCAGGTCCTTACATGCTCCGTTTCTTGACAAGGTAGTATGAAACCCAGGGGGTCCCCTTTTGGGGAAACCAACGACCCTTGGGTGTTAGCCTACCTTGGGGTAGTCAAAAATGGAAACCTGCTTTCAACATGCTGCCAAAACATGACATCCTGGGCTCTCCGGTCACTGCCAAACAAGCGGGATCAAGCAATCTTCAACTGCAACGCCTGTCCTCCACACTCTTGAACGGAATATTTGCACGCTGCGCCTATCACAACTGCGCTACCCAAGCTGCAGCAGTCCAGTCAGCAGCCGCCATGATTCTAATCGAGTCAGCAAGTAGAAATTGTCCATTTACTGAACCTACTGCCATGCAACAGCCAACCCTTCAGTGCCTGCTCGCAGTGAACTGCGTCGCCAAGCACGCACACCTGCGCAAATGCCCGCATTTCCTGCAGCTAGAACTGCTTGAGCGCCTTCAATCTCGGACGAGGAACATGAGGAAGCTTGATTGTACCAGCCTCTGATCAAGCTCGAGCAACTCAAGCTGCGTTCGACTGTGGAACTGGACTATGCGCATCTTGCTGCATGAGGTCAGTGCGAATCGCTTGTCTCGCTGGGTATCGTAGTCCTTCCACAGGGTGGTCCGAGCCCCCACAAGGTTTGGCATCTGATGGTCGGTCCTTCAGACCAATCTGCAACTCCACAGTCTCCAGAAACTTACGCTGCTTCTCCTGAAAGCCAACTCCTACATGATACCTTGGCCAAAGTTTCTTTCTGGGCGATGTTCACAGTTCCCTTGCCAGGGCTGTACAAACCTGATTTAAAGAGTTGACGAGCCTCGCGAAGCACCAGAAAATGGTCGGTCGCGCGGCATTCAAATCAACCGATCCCTCCTTGCTGCCTTCCAGGATCTGCTGGATGCCTCGCTGTGTTTCGCACTATGGATGGATGGAATCCATTTCGCACCAGCGAAGAGGCCCTGGAGAGATGATTCCCTTGTAAATACCAACAAACAGTGGTTTCCCATGGTTTCCAACTGGTGCAGGATTTTGTCCATCCACAGTACGAGCGGATTGCAAATCGAAAGCCCTGGGGCAACGGCCCTTCTTGAGATTGTCCACGTTCAGCTTCGACATCGCTACAGCTTCAGGACCCTGTCCTGCCCTGCTCGCCTCTTGCTACCTGTTTTCGGAACCAAAACAGCGGAGCGGCAAAAATGAAAATGTTGGACTGGCAGCAATGAAATGCATCAAGTGAGTCACAATCAAAACCTGGTGTTAACATGGTCTACCCAGAATAAGACTCAAAAAGCAGGCTTAACCCATTTATGGCAAGGGGATTACAGTATCCCTTACCCTCCAATTACCGAGTTTTTCTCTTGTGACTCAACACTGCATCGCGCATCGGACCTGACTCGCTTGACCTAAGTTGTGGAAGAACGCCAGGGTTCATCAACACACAGCTGCTTTCAGATACGCTCAACGAGCGACCGAAGCACTCTTAATTGCTTTGTTCGTCATGCTTGAAATTGAACACACAGCTATCTCTCAGCATGGCTGGTTGATAGCACATACGCGTGAAACACCTTGAGGGCAGTGTCCGCCTTTGCACTGCCTGTTGTTGGCTTTCTACATATAACAGCGATTGGAGAAAACCCACTAATGCCAGTGGCCATGGTATTTTGCTCGTCTCCATTTGGCTGTGGAGGTCAAAAAACAGGGTAATTACCCAAGCTGGCAAACGCCATGGTAATGTTCACGGAAAGGACAAATTTCAACCGGCGAAATGGAAAGGACCATGACCAAAACCTGCGGTCCATTTCCTGGTGACTCAATCTTGACACCGACCCATTTGGTTCAAGAGAACCCGCTCAGTTGCCGAGGGCCTTCAGCTTTGAGGAAACCGCCTCAGACGAAGCACTCCACACGTACGTCGATGGGTTTTCGATTGGCCTCAACAAACATGCGTCCCATGGAACACCGTCTTTCAGAGGGTCCCCAAGAGGAAATATGGCCGTGGTTTGTCACAAAGAGTTGGTAACCCCCCAAAATGGCGTAAGCCCTGGTAAATGGAAACATGGACTACGACCTGCGGTCCAATTCCTGGTGGTTTAATTTTGACCGATACCCATATATGAGCTTCCAGGTACCCTCCCCACAAATGCCTTTTGTTCTTAGGAGGAAGGCTACATCATAGAATCAGCTAGTCTCCATTCATACGCTCCTTTCAACTAGTGTTTTATGGATTGCATGGTGCTGGACATGCTTACCTTAGCCCGGGCGAAGCACCTCCTCCAATTTCTCAAGCATCTTGTCCAGGTCATTCTCCTGAAGGTCAAGCAGAAAAATGCATCAATCAAGAGGACGTGCGCCAACTTCTCCCGATGTCTCTGTTTGCGACTGTAGGGATAGGATGGGATGGGATGGGATGGGGCGGGGCGGGGCGGGATGGGATGGGATGGGGTGGGGCTGGCTTGGGGTGGGTGAGGTTGGGGTGGGGTGAGGTAGGTGGGTGAGTCTGCTTAGCAGTTCTCGCCAGAGAATCGGCAAAGAGCACCTCACAAAAGCCTGAGTTGCTTCACGGCCATAGTTGAATTCCAACCACCCCGGTTCAGTGCTCTCTCTGACTCCCATTTCCGCGGCGGCTTTTCGTTCCGGGGGGCCATGACTCGTCAAATTGTCGCGGCGTTTCGTAGCGGGCGCCTTGGAGATCTCGTTGATGGCCTTGCCCACGGCCTTCTTGATCTCCGGGCTAATCTGCCCGTCTTGCTTCCAGTCCTTCACACAGAGCTCATACCCCGACCAAAATGAACCCAGGCCGGCCGATGTTCATACCCCTCTCCCCAAAAGGGGTAGGTATAGAACCCCTTATAAAACAGGGATCCTTACATGATACACCTGAACATTGCCTTGTAAATGGTGGGTGTCCCTTGACTTTGATGGAAAAAGCAACATGGTTCAAGTGGTTGCAGAATGTATCTCTTGAGGAGCCCTCTTAAAGTGGGTTGGAAAAAACCAGGGCTGTGCGCGCCTTGAGCTGGCCGAGGCTTCGCTCCAAGTCCTGGCGACAGAAATGGCCGTGCGGCAGGGCTGGCTGTGGTTGTCAAAACCCAAATCGGTTAGCCCGCAGTGAACGGGACCCAATCCTACCACTTTTCAGGCTAAAATGGGTGATCCAACCACTTTTCATAGACTAACAAATCCAACCACTAAAATGGGACGTGGTTCTAAACTGGCTGGTGAATTCAAAGAAAATCAACCAACATGAAATCCCAAAACGGTTTTGAACCATGGCCAAATAGCTATGCCTCCATGAAGAATGTCAGCACCTTGGGGCTCCACCAACATCTGCGACAGCCGAAAAACATCTATTTCAAGGCTTCAGTAGTCAACCTAGAGATGAAGTTCCAACCGCTCCAAGGTCAAGCTGCAGCCCAGAATAGGACACTCACGGGCAAGCACAGGCACATCATTTCCAAGGTTGGGCCAACATCCGTTAGATTTCAACGAAACAAGTCGGTTGCAAAAAAAAAGCTGACTGTTTCTTGCAGCCCGAAACAAAAAGGAACACAACACCAGAACCACAAAACAGAAAACAAAAACGCCGAGAGCGGCGAAGCCAAGGTCAACACGCCGTGGTTCAAACTACTTCGTCAAGTCAAGCGCTATCAATGGCTTCTGGCTCCTCCAGCTGCTGATTGGCACCTGCCATATGATTCAGCAGGTCCTGCGGCAAAACTCGCGGCAGCAAAAATCGGGGGGGGGGGGGGAAAAAAACAAGGTCTTGAGCACTACATTCTGGGCATGGGTCAAAATCAAACCACCCGGAATTCGGAATTGCAGAGTAAAGTTTCGTCCATGTGTCCGTGGGCAAGCCGTTTGAGGAGCTGATTTTGCCCCCACAGCCACATCTTTCTTTGTCCTCCTTCCCCGAATCCTCGAGCTGGTTATGCACTTCCTGGCCCAGCTACGCGGCGCCGACCCCAAACGCCCAAAATCACAAAAAATTGCTTTTTTGTCCTGAAAAGCATGACCTCCTGCTGGCCAGGCCTGTCTGACGTGTCTGAGACTAGGCTCAGGCCCAGCCCAACCAGCAACCCGCCTGCTGGCCAGGCCTGTCAGCCCAGCCCACCCAGCCTCAGGCCCAAGCTTGTCTGAAACAGGCCCAGCCCAACCAGCAACCCGCGCACGGCCCCCAAGTCATCCAGCAAGCCCAGCCCAGCTCAGGCCCACTAGGCCGGCCCCCAGCTCCCAGCCCACCAGCACAGCCCAGCGTGCCAAGGTCAGGTTTGTCTCACGTGTCTGAGACTGGCCTCAGGCCAACGACCAGTCTCACGTGTCTGAGACTGGTCTTAAGCCTGTCTGACGTGCCCCAGCCCCTCAGTCCGGCTAAGCAGCGCAGCCCCGACCTCCTGCTCGCGTCTGGCCCCAACTCATCCAGCAGGCCCAGTTTCTTCGGCGCAGTCTGAGACTGGTCTCAAAGTATGCCAGCCTGAGCCCCGCCTGCTGGCGTGTCTTACGTGTCTGCAACTGGCCTCAGGCCCAGCCCAGCCAGCAACTCGCCACCCAGCCTCAGGCCCAGTGTGCATGAAACAGGCCAAGCACAGCTCAGCCCAGCCCGTAGTCCGGCTGTCTGGCAGCCAGCAACCCACCCTGCCCAGCCCAGGCCCCGGCGCATCTCAGGCATGCCAGCCACTAGGCCGGCCCCCAGCTCCCAGCCCACCAGCAGGTCAAGCCTCAGGCCAACACGTGTCTGAGACTGGTCTCAAGCTATGCCAGCACTAAGCCTGTCTGACGCTGGCCTTCACCTCCTGCTCGCGTCTGGCCCCAAGTCATCCAGCAGCCCCAGCCCCTGGCGCAGTCTGAGACTGGTCTCAAAGTATGCCAGCCTGAGACTAGCCTCAGGCCCAGTCCCTCAGCTGGCGTGTCTTACGTGTCTGCGACTGGCCTCAGCCCAGCCCAGCCGGCCTTGCCCATCCAGCAACCCGCCCAAGCACAGCTCAGCCCAGCCCGCCCAGCCCGTCCGGCTGCCCGGCAGCAACCCACCCATGGCTTCGCAGCCTCGTGGCTGAGACTAGCTTCCCACCTCAGCCCAGCCTGCCCAGCCAAGGCCCGGCGCATCTCAGCGTGCCAAGGTCAGGTTTGTCTAACGTGTCTGAGACTGCCCTCAGGCCAACGACCAGTCTCACGTGTCTGAGACTGGTCTCAAGCTACGCCAGCCACCAAGCTGTCTGACGTGCCCCAGCCCCCCAGTTCGGCTGCCCAAGCAGCTCAGCCCAGGCTGACCAGGCCTTGACCTCCTGCTCGTGTCTGGCCCCAGGGCGTCTCAAGGTATGCCAGCCTGAGACTAGCCTCAGGCCCAGTCCCTCAGCCCGCCTGCTGGCGTGTCTATTAAAAATATTTTTCCGGGGTACTTAAGCAAATGGAGGTTTGTATTCCCACCATGTACCTGTCTTGGGCTGAGCAACCGAGCAAGAAATGTATGTCAAAAGTTGGTCTTGGTTGTTCAGTGACACCAATTATTGTTCCCCTTTTTATGGAGGCCAAGCCCCACTAAAAATGTTCCTCCCCAGAGCAAGGGCACTGAGCAGCTGAGATAGTCTTGGTTTTGGATTTCAAACCTTCCGAGCAGGACGGCTTCCGAACATCGAGCTAGCACGGGCGAACTGGTGCGGTCACAAGCTTTCAGTAGGATTCGGACCTTCCCAACACTGGATTTCGGTGTTCCTGACCCTTCCCTCAAACTAGGCTGGGCCGAGGCGGGCAACGCGAAGCGTTTACAATTACGCCCTCTGAATCACCCTAGTCTAGCCCATGTCCAGAAAAAACCTGGTTATTTTGGTCTTATTTGGGGGCTATGTTAGGCAATCTTCCTAGGGCGTACTTCCGTGTCGGCACATCCTTGGCAGAGTGTGAAGCCCGGATTCATCCACCCCTGTTTTCTGATATGGGGGTTGGGGGGGGGCCTTCAGAAGTGGTCTGAATCGGAGAAGCGCCCCCATACTGATAAACTGAGGTTGATTCATACTGCGGATGGTTGCGCATCCCTTTCGCACCACCGAAATGGACCCTGGAAGGATGATCCTGGAAATACCAACCATGGGATGTTTTTTGGGTTTAGTTTTTGGGATGTCCCTCCAACATTTGGGTGTGGCTCACAATTAAACAGGAGGGGTTACGCAGGTTTTGGGCCATGGTTCCACTTACCAGGGTTCCATTTTTGTACCGGTTTTTTGAGCCACAGCCATTTGGTTTTTAGGAAAGTCAACACATTCGCGCAAAAAGGCCCCTGCCTTGTAGAGATCTAAGCGTGGCACTGTGCGGTAGAGCCACAACTCCGTGAGCTGCTGCGCGTTACTGCAGGCGCGGATCCCGTATGGAAACCACACATGAAACCCACGAAAAAGAGGTTCGACATGTGAACCACGTGAAAACTTGATGAAGCCCACAAAAAAACAAGGTTGAAATGTGGAGGAAACCCAACAAAAAAGATATGATGATGTGTCAAGCACATGGGAAAAGTTAGCAAAAGTTGTCCATTGCTTGGAAAGACTAAACGGATTTGATAGTTTAACCACTGAATGAAACAAGTTGTTGCAAAACCCACTAAAAGGAGCTGATATTGCAACCACTAAAATAAAAATGTTATCGACAAACACACGGAAAAGAGTGCTACAACCACTAAATGAAAAAACATAAACAAAAAGGTTATTGGAAAGCCTACTAAAAAGAGTTGATTGGAGTTGGATGTTGGAGTACGGCGAGTGGCGTTACCTACCAGGTCAAACGGTTCCCCCCTGGTAGGGCCTGTAAGCGACCCTAACGCAACTCTGACTCACAGTGACTCTGACTGATACTTCCACTAAAAGGAGCTGACATTACCACTAAATGCAAAAGTTATGGGAAAACCCTAGGCGATTGAATCTTCAAGCGGAACTGAAGCCCTTTTGAATTCAAGATTCAATAGTCTTAGGACTCTCATTTTGAACATCAAATCCAGTAGGGTTACAAGTAAAGGGCTTAAAAGCGGCTTTCAAGCTTGTTCGGATCCAAGATTCGAGATTCTTAGCGCTCGCATTGTAAATCTTGAATCCAGCCAAGCTCCAAATAAGATTGTTTTCAAGCGCTTTACATCCCTTTGCGTCCTGTACACGGCTTGGACTTAAGATTTCGAACTAGAGTCCTGACAATCATGTGCAGAATCCGGAAGTGAGCAGAGCGTTTTGCCCATGCATGGACGCACAAATGCATTCTCCCTACTTTTGGGAGGTCTCAAAGGGTGAACATAAGAGTACCGCAATCCCCAGCCAGATTGGCCTGGCTATGAGTCGGATGCTAATCAACACTTACTTCCCTCAGCTCGAGGCTCACAACCCTGGACTTAAAGCCCGCGGTTTCCTTTCTGCTTGCCCTGAATTGGACAAATTCAGAGCGAGACTCCCGAGGACCTTGAAGCTAAAAGGGCTTCAAAGCCGCTTTGCCCTTGAGTAGGAGCGCTGCTGGATTGCAGATTCAGGTTGATAGGTCGCAGAAACTTGGTGAAAGAAAGTTTGAAAGGAAAAGTCTACCACTCCTCTGAAGGTAACACTTTGAAGTTGGCTCTTCTTAAAAGTAGCTTTGAAAGGAAAGTCTAGAAAGGAAAGTCTACCAGTCCAGATCTGGAAGCAACAACTTTGAATTTCACACTGGTTTAGACCGGGCGTTGAAAGAAAAGTCTATCAATCCACATTTGGAACAAAAGCATTTAAATTGAATGCTCAGGCTTGATTTTGATTGTGGTTGAAAAGCGTTGAAAGCAAACATCTACCACGCCGCTGGAAGCAAGTAGGAAAAGTCTACATGTCAGATCTTGAAGCAAAAGATTGAAATTAAAGTCGTTCAAAAGGCGCTTTGAAAGGAAAAGTCTACCAGCCGAGATCTTGAAGCAAAGGCGCTGAAAACACTCACAGGCAGAAAAAGCACGCATTTGGGGCGGGAGAATATATAGACATATATATATATATATATATATATATATGTGCACCTATAAATGTTTATATATATATATATATATTTGTATATATATATATATATATATATGTATATGCATTTTCAGCCAAGAATGTGATAATTGAAAGATGCGCACACTTCTTTTCGCCACGTTAGTTTGCGTGACAGGCTCAGAACTTTGGCAGGCTAAGGTACAAATCACTTGGCGGGCACGGCACTTTGTTGCATTGGCGATCAGATTGCGTTGCACTCGCAGCACTTTTCCAGCCTGAGGTAGATTCGTGGCACACACATCGCTTTTGCAGACTCAGGCGCAGATTGTGTAACAGGCGGCATTTTGACAATGCTGGCACAAACGTGTTGCAAATCCAGTTGTGTGGCAGGCGCCTCACTTTCGCAAGGTCAAGCGCCGCACTTTCACAAGATATATAATTAGATTGACGGATAGACAAATAGATAGATAGATAGACAGACAGATAGACAGACAGACAGACAGACAAACAGACAGATAGATAGATTGATAGATTGATAGATTGATAGATAGACAGGGAAAGAATCGATAGGTAGAGCAGATGTAGAGATAGATAGAAAGTTATGAATGAAAATGTCCAGAAAGAAAGAAAAGGAGAAAGAAAGACATAAAAATATGTATTATATAGATGGATAGATATATAGAAATGATAGAATGATAGAATGATAGAATGATAGAATGATAGAAATATAGAAATATAGATAGATGGATGGATGGATGGATGGATGGATAGATAGATAGATAGGTAGATAGATAGATAGGTAGGTAGGTAGATAGATAAAAAGAGAGAGAGAGAGACAGAGAGAGATAGAAAAATAGGTAGATGGACCGACAGCCAGGCAAATAGATAGACAAATAGCCAGACAAATAGATAGATGAATAGATGGATAGACTGATAGATAGATGGATGAATAGATAGCTACAGGGACAGATAGGTAGGTAGATAGATAGATAAAGAGAAAAGTACAGAGAAGAGAAAGCGAGGAAGAAAGAATAAGAAAGAAAGAGAGGGAGAAAAATAAGAAAAAAAGAAAAAGACACAAAGGGAAGAGAAAGAGAAAGAACAAGAGAAGAAGAAAGACGAGGAAAAAGAAGAAGAAAGAGAGAAAAAGAGAAGGAGAAAGAGAAATGGAAAGAGAACACGCCGAGCATGAAGTTGGCAAAGGAACATGCTGCATCTACATGTTTACCAGAGCCGGCGAATCCAGTTGGCGGAAATTTCAAACATATAAGAACATGTTTTTCAAATGGTGTCTCTTTTTCTCATTCCCTAGAGCCCTCATCAGACACCATTGGAATGTCAGAACAGTAACCTTGCAATCACCCCACAAAAACAAAGTGAAACACAGAGGCAATCCAAAACCAAGCGAAGCCAAACTCCAACCCAATCCAGCCCCCATTGTGAATCAATGTCAAGTTTGCCCTTTCGCCCTCCTATTGTAATCCCAATTTGTGGCAATTGCAGAACACAGTTTGGTCCGGAGATTTTTCGACATCTCAGGAGCCAAGACGAAGACGGCTGCTTTTGAGTTGCCTAACCTGCCTTACTGGTGATGGCCAAGTTGGCCGTCGACTCTAGATGTACTTGGGCTGCTGAGGGTCAGGTTGCTCAGGGTTAGTCCAAAACTCTCCGCGTTTGGGCGGTCGAAGCTGAAAAAAAAGTCGGGGCTTGGCGCTTCCGCAAAGCACAGCGGCAGGCAAATAGTTGGAAACGACATTTGAGCCACAATCAAAACCCGGTACAAAAATGGTCTACCCAGAACCATGCAAAGAATTAAGGAGGCGGCCGCAACTACTTCTGGCTGAGACTGCCCCTTACTAACCTTCATCTACCCGGGTTTTGATTGTGGCTCATTTAGAGAATGGCAACGACTCGATCAGGTCTTGTAGCCCCACAGCCAAAAATCGACGGATGAGGCCCTGTGGCTGGGTCACGAGTCCAGCCTCCAAAACTTGGTCATGTCTTCCCGCTGCTTGCCCACTTGTTCGTTCTGGCGCGCCAACTCCTGGAAATTCCAAGCCTTGCTCGAGTTCTACCGCAAAACTTGCTGGTGCGCTAGGTTGGTGATGACTGTGATGACCCTTCCGGGTTGGTTGAATGAACCGGTTGTAGGGATTCCCCCAAAAGAAACCAAATCGGAAATGGATAGTTCATCTCGAGGTCATTCCATTGCTCATTCCCTGCCTATCCCACCAGCAAGAAATTTGGCCAGCCTGCAGCCTCTAAGTTGCAGCGCTCCTTGACCTCGCGCTCTAACTGCTGGATGAGGTCTAGCTCCTGTCCGATGTCATGCTGGGCTCTCCATTTTCTGATCCCCCTGCAAAAAGTCGAAACTTCTAGCAGGTTAAATGGAAACCCCCCACTAAAACCGAAAAAAAAAAGCCTAAGAAGCAAACAAATAAGGAGGGACGGCTCTCAGAGATCTTGTCCTCGAATCTCATCAGCATGACAATGAGGCAAACCTGACGCACCATGCCCGAGACCAAAGTTGTGAATCCAAAGCCAAAGCCTCGGCCACGATCAGGTCCGCTACGCTGACGAAGACGGCCAGGGCGCCACTGCGCGAAGGATGGCAGAATCAAAAGCTGCGCACTTTTGATGGCAGAGTCATTTGGCCATACCCCCAGTGAGCATCCCAATCCCCACTAAAATAGGTTCTAAAATGCGTGGTGACCTACCCCAAAATGATACCATTGGTTTTGACCCACAGCCATTTCATGTCGCCTTGACTTGTACTCTTCAAGGCTGTTGGTTCTCTGCCTTCTTTGCTCTATGCAACACCAAAAGCTGAGCATAAGGCCTGTCGGCTGTTGCCATGATGAAAATATCATACCTGGCATCGCAGCTGGCAATCACAAAAACAGAAGTCTACAGCTAGCTCTGCACGGCCACTAGTTTGAAGGGCACATCATCAGCACAAATCCCGCCACAACGCCAACCAGCAGTTTGGCCTCAGGCTTGCCAAATGAATTGCCAGTCAAACATCTTTCTTCGTGACTTGTTCACCGCCACAATGCTCCATGTCTGTCCCTCTCTCTCTGTCTCTCAGCACAAATCTCGGCAATTGGCATGCTCAAGTGAAAGCACGACCACGTGACCGCAGCCAAAGCGAATCTCCTTTGGGTAGGTATCCTGCAATGGGCTCACGCAAAAAAGAAAGAAAAGCGAACCATGCATAAACATGACTGGCACAAATGGGTGTGGCTCAAAAATCAAGACCCCGGGGCTACGCAAGTTTTAATCTGCTTCTCCACTTCTCGGGGTTCGATTTTGGAACCCTACTGTGGATGGACGAAATCCTGCACCACCTAAAAGGGCCTGGAGGGATGCCTCCCCTGTAAATACCAACAAACAGTGGTTTCAACCATGGATTCCAACTGGTGCGAAATGGATTTTGTCCATCCACAGTATTTTTCACCCGCATGCAGGAACGACTCACGCGCGGCCTTGGTCGGAGGGCTCCTGACGTAGAACTGCCGGGGCCTGGATCCCAACGCATTCGACGCTGGACGCTAGGAGTTCTACGTCCGGTCGTGAAATCCATTCCCCGTAAAACCAACAGACAAGCATTAAAAAAAAAAAAAAAAACTTAAACACATTGGACGTCTTCCACTTGCATTATGCCCATGGGCCAAAATCCACATCGTACCCGCAGTGAACATCCCGATCCCTACTTAAATAGGCTCCAAAATCGGGTGCGCCTACCCCAAAATGGGATCCCATTCGTTTTGACCCACAGCCACATCCATAAAATTGCCCTTCAAAGAGGATGCTTGACATACTGCTCACCCACACATACTATGCTGTAGATGTCAGCCAAGGTCTTCATGAGCGAGGCTTGCAATGAAAAGACATTATATATATATATATATATATATATATATGTATATATTCGTGTCGATTGCTTGCTCAACGCCATGCTATCTCGCATCGAGCAAATATTAGGCAGACATCTACATCCTCAGCACCGTGCCCACCAAGCTGAATCCATGACATCCCCCTCTTGCGGCGAGATCCTCTCAACGACAGTGAAGCACATTGCCAAAGTGCAAGGCAAGCAACGAGCCTGCAGGCAAATTACTGGAGGATGCAGCTGGCGCTGGCAGCTCCAATCTCGGTTTTGCAGCGGCCTCTCTTCTTGACCCGAAATCATAGGTGCTGCCACTTCCCTATAGCATCAGTGAAAGCTGGGCTAGCATGTCCCCACTCCCAATTCACAGTGCCCATGAGAAACAAGGTCTCCTGAGTCACCAAGACTACGCCTAAGCTTCGCACAGCCTGGAGTGTCGCTCCGCTTGTGTCATTCTTCGGTACTCATTCTTGTTCTTCCTCAGCAGCTGTGCGTCCTGGAATTCAAGGGAAGCCCTTTCAGCATCACTAGTTTGTCAAAATGGGGCGAAAGTGGGGCCCTTCCCTGGCGAGCTAGCAGTCCTGGTCACGCTGCGTGCTGATAAATCTCACCTCATGATTTCATCTCCAGAGTTGCTCCAGAGTTGCTCCAGAGTTGCTCCAGAGTTGCTTCCAAGTGACATTTTGCCATCAACTTTCAGTTCGTGTCACAGGGGTTGCCAAGAGGGCAGAATTCGCTTGAACCCTGCCACAGGCCTCGGTCTTTTTCAGCCGGTCAAGACACAAGTCGGCCACCTGGCCGACAACCAGCAGAATTCGCCGACTGGCGAAACATACACGCGACGAAAACCACACCTCCCCGATGGAGCTGCAATCCTCTAAGTCCTGGCAACATCCCAACAGCCCGGCAAGAATGCAAAAAATGGCCAGATTGCAGCAGGATAACAGAACTCGCGTGGCAATCAATTGGATGTGGCTCAAAATATTCCACAATCGGACGGGTTAACCGCAGGTTTTGGTTTCCATGGTTTCCACTTACCAGGGTGCCAGCGCCATGTTGAAAAAGCCCCCGGTTGTTTGACTTCGCCACGGCCTTCGGAGCTATGACCTTCTTGGGATAGTTTATGGGGTCGATGGAGCACTCCTGTCGCATCAGTCAATGAGTGAATCCGTCGAGTGAAGCCGAGACCTCGAAGACGTGCAGCCAGTTGGATGCGAAACGCTTGAACCTCGGCCACAGGTACAATTAAACAATGGACTTCCCACCGCTCATCCGTCAGACTTTGCTGGGGCGCGAGCTGCCGCAGTAGTTGATCAGAATCCTGCGCACACAGTCATCCCAACTCAACCCCAACTGTGGGCAAGCATCTGAAGAAGTTTTTTGTGGTTCCAGGCGGCTCTGATTTCCTGCCAAATGTTCATCTCTAATGCTGGTGGCGGACTGTGCTGTGGCTCCTGCTTCTGGCGACAATCGGTTTTCGCATTGGGCTGGCTGCGGCATTTGTTTCTGGTCGTGAAAATCTGTTGATGCTGTTTGGGCCAAGCCATACAAAGAAGTGACTAGAGGCTGATTGGTCCAAAAGCATTGTCTCCCAATGCTTTGGGCTCTCACCACCAGGGGGTATCATGCGCACGCACGGAACCCATATCCCGCAGAACATGCCCTGAGAACCACTCAATCTCTGCCAAGTCTCTCTGGGCAGGCTGCTTTGTGCAAGTTGTTCTGCGCAAGCTATTCTTGTCAAGTTGTTCTATTTAAGTTTCTACGCGCAAGTTGCTCAGCGCAAATCGCTCTGCGCAAAGTTGCGAAAGTTGGCCCCCGGGCTCCAGACGGAAGAACCCTTCGCAATGTTTTCAGGAATCAAAACCTAAACGACCTGCTGGCACATTTAATGATTTCAGGGGTTAAATGCTTGGCGTCGTCGCTGAAATGTCTCGAAGGTCTAGATTTGGAGGGCTAAACTCATCATGTTTTCTTGCTCTGCCATCAGTGCAGAAACAGAATGTAATTCAGTTTGACAACAAGGTCAATTCCATCTTGCGATGAACCCCGTTTTGCGGCCCCGTGCGTTTGAGTTGGCCAAAGAAGCTGGCGCCAGTTTCTCTCGCTTGGTCATCCCAACTTTCGCGGAAAGCCCGACGCCTGCCACTGTGAAAACGCGTGACTTTCCGACGTAATCTTACCCAAGTTCTGGTATCTGCCCTTGATTTCATAGCCTTTGCCAAGCTATGAATGGGAAACTGACCCGACATCCAACTACGCCAGCGACAGCCCGTGTGATTTGGGCACGAGCCTTGCGCCCAGGCAAGTGGTTTTACGGGTAAACAAGCCACAAGCAAGGCCCCTAACCAACCAATCCCCGGTCCCAAAAATATAGGGCGTCGAACATACCAGCAAACCACAACAGCAGGAAAGTAACAAACCAAGTAACAAGGCAATGGATACCTGCGACCATCGACGTGTTAGGCTGACGGTGCAACGAAGACCCTCATTACTCACATGGCGACTGATACGAACAAAACTCGCATGTCTGATGCAAACAGTAGTGGCTTGGTGCTGTCATGCGGACTGTTCCATTGGGCGTTGGTTCACGTTGCCCCAATTAATTTGGGGTGGCGGCGGGAATTTCCTGCCTGGGATGTCGTGTATCGACGTGTCTTTGGAGTTGCTCCACCGCTGATCGCGGCCTTGTCCTGCTCTTTACGGACGGATGTGAGCTTTATTTCCTATCAGTTTTGAAACTCTCCACCTGTTGCAGACGCACTCCTTGTGCGGGGGGTGTTATTAGCCATGTGTTGCAAGTGTCATCCGAAATGTTGCGTTAGCAACTTACCGCCGACATTCGGCTCGTGGGCCTCGGATGAGCGACGGCCTCAGGTACTCAGATTCGCCCCTGAAGCACTTAAACATTGCATACCAGTCATTAACCACTACCCGTAATCGCTGCTCCCTCTGACTCGACCAGCTTCAAAACAATGTACGCCAGCTGCCCAGCAACGGTCCGCGGAGAACATTGCCACCGCACCTCAGCACCCCGAGCGGCCTAACGGCCAACTGCCATGCGACGCTGCCAAACCGATCTTCTCGCTGACGATCACGGTTATCATCATCTCTCCGTGACCCCCTGGATGCCCGCCGTCAAGCAGTCCATCTTCGGCTCAGTCCCCTCACCTGCGTCTACCTCCATAGGTGCAGGACCACCAGCCCAAAGAGCATGAGGACTTCGTGTCGGCATGGGTTTCAACGCTCCTCTACCTACCCGCGCCGAGTCCACCATCATGCCCATGAAGTCCAACGCACCTGCATCACGCTAGCGCCCTACGATTTCGATATCAATGACAACTACTTCGCGCTCCACGGAGCGCGAGGAGCGCCGGAGAGGACTTTCCCAACTTCACGTGTGAGGAGTTTGATGCAGGGCACGTGGGCGACACACGACAGCGTTTTTCTGGTTACCGAAGATGCCGGACGAGCAGATGCCGGACGTAGGAGAGTCACCTGTGAGTTTTACGGGTAAAAGGCCATAAGTAAGGCCCCTAACCAACCAATCCCCGGGCCAAACATGAGGGGTTCCAACATACCAGCAAACCAACATGAAAGTAACAAACCAAGTAAAAAGGCAATCGATACCCGCAGCCTGAGCCGACGATGAACCACACGGACAAACCCCACCAACCTGACCCGGGTCGATGTCTCTTTCTCCACCGACACGAACATGATCGACGTGAGGACCCGGCGACGCTCATCCGAGGCCGCGACGGATCGCAAACTTGAGCCAAATGTCACCGGTAAGTCGCTAACGCAACATCCCGGATGACACTTGCAAGTGCGCGTGGAAATGCGTTTGGGTCGGAGTCTTTGCTCGCGCTTGTTTCTACTTGTTTGTTTTTGTCCCCGTGCTTTTGTTCTGTGTCTGCGTCTGCAGCTGTCTGGGTGGGTGGGCAGGTGCGTGAGTGCATGTGTGCGTGGATGCTTGGGGTGCTTGGGTGCGTGTGCGTTCGTGTCCATTGTGCAATCTGCATCCCGTTTCACAAAAAACTTTACTTCAAATTGAAAAGCTCTAGAAGTTCTACATTAAGTTGCGGGAAGTTCAAAAGGAGGTCCACCTCACAGAAGCCCCTGGCCTTTGTGTTGACCTTGTGCTTCTCCCTCAGATTCCACAAGTCAGCGGTCAGACATTTACCCGAACGCAGAGCATACTTGCTAGTGCTCAGCAGGGAACCAGGGAATGACCCCCCAAAAACAAACCTCCAACTGGTGATGTTTTCCTTCAAACGCAACCCCTGGCCCCTATCGATCCAAAGCCACGGGTGTCGAACTTGGGTGCCCGGCTTCACTCGTTCCAAGAAGCGCTGGAAGTCCCGGCGTTTCGACTCGAAGGTTCGCTCCGCCAGCCCAGCCGAGGACCTCACCGATGTCGAATCTGGGAATGAACTTTTTGGGGATGCCTGAACAAAGGAAACCACCAGTTGGATGGTGTATAAGTTATAAGTTATAAGGGTCAGTTCATTTCTCATTACCTGCTTATCGCACCAGCAGGGAAAGGCGATGCACTTGCTTTGTCGCGCTTTAGGCACATCCCAAACGCAGCCTGTCAGGCACCCCGAGTTGAGGAGCGAGCTCTGCTGACTTCGAAAGGAGGCCGTCCATGTCGGAGAGCAAGTCATTGTAGGAGCGCGCCAGATTTTCCTGCCCGAAATGATCCATGCTCGAGCCACCAGACTCAAAGTGCAGCTGTCCTTCTCCATCTTTGCTGCTCGCTGCTTGGCCTGCAATCTGTCGTCGTACTGGCTAATGATGCTCAGGATGTACCATATGCACGGGGATATGAAAACCTGGCTGGAGATTCAGGATGGCCATCAAACTTGGCTGGAATACTCCATGTCGCATGTCGGGCAAATTCAACGCACCAAAGCCAGCCAAAGCCAAAAGCCAACGAGGCCAAGGCTAAGGACAGGATCTCCTTCACGCATCCGTGACCGAGACCTCATTGGCACGCACGTTGCACACCCCTCCGACGGCGCAAGTCCGACAGGTCCGCACATTTCGCCTCGATGAGCTCAGCAAGTGTGCGCACCATCTGGCGAAAAAAAAAAAAAAAAAAAAAAAAAAAAAAAAAGGATCTAAATCCTGACATGTGCGTCAAAATCCAACTTGTACCCCCAAGTTCCCAAGTTCCACTAAAATAGACTCGAAAATGGCTGGTGAATTCACCAACCCCAAAATGGTACCATTGGTTTTGACCCAAAAGCCATGTGAGCCCAACAGCAGCGAATTGACTTTTCTGCTGTTCAATTCTGCTCACGTCTAGTTGGATACCATAACCAAGCATGATGAGCGAACACCCTGTCTGCACAGCCTCGACGGTACACGCGATGGTGCCAACCTTCGGACAGCTCATCAGGCACGTGCAAACTAAATCCTAGATTCATCTTTGTACGGTGGCCTTTTGCTGGGATCCCGGCGACAAGAATCAAATGTGTCCAGTCCTGCCGCACTTGCGGAAAGCAAACTTCGCGCAGGCCAATTCATGAGGTCCTGTATCTTCAGCCAGGTATTTGGGAGAAGGGCCTTCACCTCAGCCAAAGCGTCAGTACTCTCAACTCCTCTCAACTCTGCCATGCCCCGCACTTTTTGTGAACACCGTTTGCATGCCGTCACCACGCATATCCGAGTCCATGCGGGCAGGCAGGAGCATACACGCTCGAAAGCGTGTACAAACTCAGACTGAATGAATGCTTCCGCCATGCAGCATGACGGACAAGAGCAGCCTTTCAAAGATTCCGGGCCAGGAAATGGGTCGGACTGGCAAACAAATTTGCAAAACAACAGCTTTGCGATTAGGTGCAGTGGCAAACGGAATGTGCCATGTGTCAGATGCCAGCCACATGTATTACAGATGCCCGGATTGTTTGACTGCCACTGGCTGTGCCAGCTTCGAATTCTACTCACTGCGAGTCTTCCCACAACAAGCTCATCACAGGCACCCAGCCTGCCTGGGTCTTGCCTTGGGACGCCTCCGCATACGCCCAGCCTTCAGGCGTGCGCGATGGAAAGTTCACTTTCAGAACGTCCCCCTCTTCCACGTCCAACTGGTTCTCCTCACTTGCCCAAAAGACCTGGAAATAAAAAGTGATCAACTTTTGGGACCGTTACTAAAAGTGGGTACCAAAATGAGAAAACCAAAAGGTCAAAAGGTCGGCTTTGGGCAAGTCTCATGAACAGCCGGCATGGTCTTCTGCACCCGCATCCAGCGATGCCCCGCTTCCGTCTGCTCGAGCGCCGCGCTGGGCAGCCAACCAGCCCTGGAAGCGTCTGCTGGATCTTCGGCATAAATCCACCCCAGCTCAGTTTCAGAGTGAGGCCATGCCTTGCATCAAGCACTGCGATGAAAATGGCCATGGGTCAAAAGCGCGTACCCCCAGTGAACATCCCAATCCCAACTAACATAGACCAAAATAGGTGGTGCACCTACCCAAAAATGGTACCATTGGTTTTGACCCACAACCAAATAACAAACAACAACAAAAACAGGCAAAAGGCGCGCGTGGAAACTGAAAACGTGTTTGTTTTTTCTGGGTCAAGCTACACGAACGAAGTCCCCCACTGCCGCAGCAAGCTGCATCGCATCCTGCGATATCACATTCCTGCATACCCGTCGAATTGCCTTGTGGGATACATCCTTGCTCTCTCCCAGCGTGTCTGCTGAGGATCCAGATTCCACTGGAAGGTTCATCGCGGCCTGGAATCTAGGTGTTGACACCGTAGATGCTGTGGTTGAATTGTCGAAGTCTCTGGACTTGCTGGTAAGAATGCTTTCCGAGCAATCATTGTCTCGAACCACGCTCTTTGGAAGTGTAGGTGCCATTGCTATCTCCCCCCTCGAAACCAGCAGGTCGATTGCTCTGTTGACATCCCACACACACTCCGCTAAGGCCTTCCTTGCTTGTTTCTCACAAAAGCCCATGTCCTGCACACAAGGTTGCAGGGTAAGTGCAATTTGCTACCATGTGCGTGCAACATGTATTGAAAAAAGCAAGCACCCTAGTGCAAACATGAGAAACATCGAATGCTTCGCTCCTTCAAATGGGCGATGTGTCCTGCCACAGCATCCGCGGAGGCACCGGGATGACGCTTCGGAGCTCCCCTCGTCGCTGAGGAGGGTTTTGGAGAGCTAGTCGGCGCCATGTCAACACACTCTGGGTGTGTTTCAGGACCCGTCGCAGAAAGCTGACAACACTGAGAACGCTGAGCGAGCAAGCTTGAGCAAAGGCCAAGCGAATGGTTCAGTGACTAGAAATGAGCACCACTCTGAAGCAGACGAAAACTGTTAAAACACCCTCGCAGACCTTGCTGAATGCCGTTGCTCGAGAAGCCTGCCGTTCCCGGACAGCACACAAAGGGCCTCAGCTGTTCGAATAGCAAAGCATATGCTCAACGCGATGCTGGGAGTCTTGCTCAATGGGGAAGATCTTTGACGGAGGCGGCTCATCCTGTTCAGCACTGAAAACAGCTCAGCCAGTTGGCTGACAAAAGGCTGCGGGTCGTATAAAGAGCGGGTCCCTGCCTCGGAATTGATGCTGGGTTGATGCGCAGCCATCGCCTTCGCAGGGCTCACCCTCCTCTCAAAAGCCAGCGCAAGGCTCCTTCCCGGCGGGCCTCGCTTGCCTCTGGCTCGCAACGCGAGCCAAATCTGAGACAAAGTGGCCGCAGATGAAGCTTCAGCTCTGCCAAGGATTGACACCCGCGAATTTCCCAATGCAATGTGGGGCATGTTCAAAACACTTCATGCTGCAAATAGTCGTGGCAAGCAAGAGTTTGGCAGCAGCACACATATGGCGTAACTAACGCCCATTGCATCACAGCGCTCCTGTAAATATACACCGCTAGTCTTTGCAGCTCGACCAACTACACATGCATATGTATTCAGTATATATACCAGTATATATATATATATAGAGAGAGAGAGAGACCCAGAAATGGAAGGCCAAAAGCATTGGCTCAATCTGCATGAGAGTGTACATTTGAGGGAGGAGTGGTGATGTCCCAGTACTGAAGAGCAGTGCTTGCCCGCGCTGCCGAGTTGGTGTAGGGACTTGCTGGGGGAGACAAGTGCGAGTGTTAAAGTGCCGGTGGATCAAAGAGGTGCCCGAATTCACCTTCCCCAAAACCCATCAGGACCATAGGTTTCAGCGATCTATGGACGACAAGCTACGATATCTTGGCCCCGGTACATGTTACGTAAACTGCACGCTAGCATGCTCCAAAGTTGTTCCAAGATGGAATGCACTTCCATGATCAGACAAAGTCCTGCACAAGTTGACAAAGTCCTGAACAAGGTACTGATGGTAGTCTCACAAGTCGAAAAACAAACAACAAGCTAAGGGAATCATTTGATGTTACATGCCACAGAACTACACCGCTCGCCAGCTTTGTCTATTTTGAGGCTGAATCTCGGCGCACATCTGCTTGGCAGATGCTGTGCGACCGCAGTGACACGCCTTCGGCCTGCTCCACAAAGAAGAGTGCAGTCAACCTGCAACGTACACCTTCACACTTTGAAGGTCTTCATGGGAAGTACCTGAGCAGTGACGCCAGTGACGCCTGAAAGTGAAGAATTTCAGCCAGCGTTTTGGCCAAGATACTTTGGAGCTCATCAACTCTTCAATCACCTCGTCGTCTTTTGTCCCTGCCCTGGCGCTTGAACAATGCCAGAATGACAAGTGAAAACAGCAGACTCCAGAAGGGGACAAGCCCAGCGCGTTGATATAACGTGAATGGGCTTTGCGACTGTGATGTGGCCATGGGTCAAAATCCAAATCGTACCCCCGGTGAACATCCCAATCCCCACTAAAATAGACTAAAATGGGCGGTGCAGCTACCCCAAAATGGTACATTTGGTTTTGACCCACAACCATGTGGAATTGCTTCCGTGCGAACACTCGAAAATGCGGCCTCCTTTGTAGCTTTGCTGCATACTCGGAGGTTCTCAGCTTTTCCAGGCCAATCGAATCGCCTAGGCTCACGCGCGCCAATCTGACTGCTATACCCCCCCCCCCCTCAATTTCCCGATCCAAGACTGTGACCGGCCACTTGGACTCGAGTGCCAACAGCCTGCGGCGCCTGCAATGGCAGCAGAAGACCTGAGAGCCTACACTGCAGAGCCCATCTTGCAGCATCCATCGAGCTCGTGCTCTTTTTGTCACACGGCCTCGCATCTGTCGGCCTCGCATCTCTCGGCATGTGCCCAAAGCACCCACATGATCCGCAGGTCCAAAGCTCAACTCGCGAGTCACAGGAAGGAATGCCCGGTGCACTTGCTGTCCATCTGTCGCGGTCGCAGTCGCAGGATGTCCAAGGCCAGTTGCGCGTCTGCTGGACTGCAACTTGGCCAAACTCCGTAGTACGAAGCGCTGCCGGGGGCCGCTGAACCATCCACAGCATCGTTGAGGCCGACTCCGCCTGCCGGGGGACCTGGTGGCAAGCTAAGAAGCAGCGGTTGCCCGCCGTCTGGGGCTGGTTGTGCAAGCCGCGCAATGCGCTGCACCTTCTGGGCTGCCCGTTTTCTGATCCCCCGCTAAAAGTGAATAACTTTTAGTGGATTAAATGGAAACTACCATTAAACACTAAAAGGCTAAAAAGCTAAGGGGATGGCTGGGAGCCACCACACCTTGTAGCACATGAAGGGAATGCCCCCAGCTGTCATTGGCATCCCCATCTTGTCCGCCAGCGATGCAGGCATCGCAGACAACGCGGACGACAACGGCATCGAGGGAGGCGGTGTTTGAACAACTCCCGCTGTTTCGATGTTCGAGGTGGCCGAGTGCGGCAATGGTTGCGTTGCTTGGAATCTGTGGCAAAAAGTTGGATGGAGCAGCTGATTGCTTGCTGATGTATGCTGAACATCTCCTTGCTTTTTGGTGGCCGAATGGCTACAAATGTTCACAACATGCAACTTTACGTGCTTCCATCAATTATAATACTTCACCAGCCTGAAATAAGGTGGTTCGGGGGCTATTCCCCACATAAACAACCATGTCGAGTGAGGTCGTGTGAGGTCGTTATAATTCACCCAGATCCCCACGTACATCGCGTCGCCAGATTGACAAGTCTAAGATCAAAGCAGCGGGCCTGACGAAGAAGCCAGTCGCTCTTCACCGCAGCTTTGGCAGGCCAGCGCTCGGTCTCGCGGTCCTATGCAATGTGTCTGCAGTTGGATTCAGGCTTTGTCTGGATTTGACATTCACTCTCTACAAATCCTTCACAACAAAAACCCGGGATTACCACATTCACTCTCTACCAATGAGTCACCACAAAAACCCGATACTACCACATTCACTCTCTCTACAAGTGAGTCACCACCAAAAACCCGTTTTTTACCATGTCGATCCCCAGAACCTACAGAATCGAACAGGCGGAAGTCCGCAAGGCGATTGCCCCTTTCCGCCCGAGTGCCCGAGTGCCCGAGTGCCCGAGTGCCCGGTCCGTGAGAAGTCGACCAAGAAATTGACTTACACCACTTGAAAGATCCACCCAATCCTGGCATGAGTCAAACACTGGCGTGCATTCCGTGAGTAGAAATGCAAAGTAAGCATTACAATGAGTGCTTCGTGCTTTTGCTTGGGCGGTAACCGACTGGCTGAACTCCAGCTTATGCGGCAGCAACTCCAACCTTTGTCAGTCATATCTCTACAAATCCATCGGAGCAAGCAATACCACGAGTGCAAAAAAACAAAAAAAAACTTTTAGGCATCCATCCATACACCCATCCGTGCATCCATGAATCAATCCATCAATCCATCAATCCATCATCCGCCCCCCACAACCCTTACAGCTCTGCATCTTCTCCGTCTGCATCCTTTGATCCCCCCAAGCATCCCCGCATCCCCTGCACCCCTGCATTCCACGCATCCCATGCATCCCATGCATCACATGCATCCCATGCATCCCATGCATTCATGCAGTGCATCTAAATCATCCCCTAATGGATGTGCCGACAGACGAGTACTGGCTTCCAGAGCAATCAATGGTCCAACAAGGCAACCTTTAATCAACTCGCAGGAAGCGGCTTCAGTCTCACAAAAACATGAAAAAATGTCTTCAAGACGCAGCACACTCATACACTACAGCACAAGGCGAGGCAATGCAACAGAATGCAGCGCAATGCACGATTGAATGCGATACACGCATCGACTCAATACACGCCTCAATCATATCCTTCATCATCTACCACAACCACCGCAACCCCCACAACCACCATCAGCGTCATCATTGTCATGTTCATCGTCGTCGTCGGTGTTGCCGTTGTCGTCGTCCTCGTCCTCGTCCTCACCATCCTCATCCTCATCCTCATCCTCATCCTCATCCTCATCCTCCTCATCCTCATCCTCATCATCATCCTCATCCTCCTCATCCTCATCATCATCATCATCAACATCATCGTCATCTTCATCGTCATCGTCATCGTTACCGTCAGCGTCAGCGTCATCGTCATCGTCATCAGCATCATCATCATCGTCATCCTCATCCTCATCCTCATGCTCATCCTCATCATCATCATCATCATCATCATCATCATCATCATCATCATCATCATCATCATCATCATCATCATCATCATCATCATCATCATCATCATCATCATCACCGTCACCGTCACCGTCACCATCACCATCACCATCACCACCACCACCATCACCATCACCATCACCATCATCTGCATCATCGTCATCGTCATCATCATCATCATCATCATCATCATCATCATCATCATCATCATCATCATCACATCATCATTGCCTAGGCTTCATCAACGCCACCCGCATGGCTTTGCTGTCCGAAACGCTACAGCCAGTACTCAGAGCTGGACACATCCTTGCCCTTTGTTGAACCTTTGGACTCCAATTGCCTCCGGGCAGTGCCATGCGCTAGGCTCCACTGTTCTATCAGAAGCTGGCGACTGTGCACGCATGCCTCCTGTCCGCCTCCGGATAGCCCAGGAGCAGCAGATAAGCCACAACACCAATCGCCCTCAGCGTGACAGGAGCTAGGAGCTGTGTGTTTGAGCCAAGTTGCGACTGCGCATCTGACCACATGTCACAGGACTCGGTATATCTGCTCTGGTATACCTGGAGAGCATGTACAGCATGAGATCACAACCATAGCACAACCATCAGGCCTGTGGTGAGACATAGTAGGGGGTTCCGACTCTCTCTGTGAAGACCTCAGGAGCTTCTGACAGCCATGAAATCTATTCAGCCTGTCATTCTAAGATAATGGCCGGGGAAGAGGCAAGCATTAAAAGGAAAAGGGATGGATTCTACATCGGACCAAGAAATGATATGAAGGGCTAACTCCGCCTAATGCAAGGACTTCCCCTTCTCTAACTCTTCTTTCACCATCTCTTTCTCGAGCTAAACCTTATGAAGGGCAAGAGATGGAGGAAGAAGATAGAACGTGTCGTATGTTCATCTGTTGGTTCCTGGTGAGAGCCAAGACCTTTCTTTCTGGGCATATGATATGGGTATGTCTTTTTTAGCCCCCAAAATGGCTTTGGTTTCCTTTTGGCTTCCCTTGAAAACCAACCAAAAGGAGGTATCCTCAAAAACAGACAGACCAATATCTCTCACCTGTGACACCGTCAGTCTGCATGCTCCAAGCACCCAACATGGCCAGGAGCTGAAAACTCCGTTGCAGTCTTGAAGTCAATCACCTGGAATTTTCGGGGAATCCCACCTTGCAACACGAACCGGTGTTTTGGAGCCCGGCGGTTTTTTTGGGCGTTTTGGGGGCAAAACCCCCCCATTTGGTGGTGCTTGAGTGTGGTTTGGAGCCTGGTGGACCCTTGGCTTCCAAAGGTTACTGGGGGAATCCAAATCCAAACCACCAATTCAGGGATACCTGATATTCTCGAGCAATGCAAGGTGGGGAAGAAAAAGAAGAAAAATAAGAAGAAAAAACAGAAAAAGAAAAAAGGGGGGGGGGGGGAAACAGAAGAAAAAAAGAAAGCCCAGCGCCTTGGCGCGACATTCTACAAGACTGCCTTTGTCTTTGAGCAGCACCTCACAAGCCGCTGGTGCACAGCCAAATCCACTGGTCTTTGAGTGAGGGAGCATGAAGAGCGCCCTGAGTTGCGGATTTACTGTCCCGGTGTGCCCGGCCGGGAGCTGGGTATGCCATTGCACCTTCTCCGGTTCGTGCCCAAGCTTGTCGCATGCACACCCGGCATCAATAGATGACACCGTGCGCACATGTTTAGCCTTTGCATTGGCGGCTGGTTTCATAAAAGAATCAATACCAAGTCTTGAAGCACTCCGCGATGACTGAAACCTTGCCAATTGTTTGGTACACATTGCTCCTGGTGTAAGCCCCACTGATACTTCCGCCCGGCCCTTGACATTTCGAGATCCCACCCCAAGCACGTGATAGCTGCAAAGAAACAAAACAGTTCCAAACAGAACAAACAAAGAGTATACATTGCCTGGCTCACTAGTGTGCATGCAACTGTATGTACGTGTATGTGTAAGCTTGTGTATTTGTGTATGTGCGTTGTGTGCGTTGCTTGCGTGCGTACGTGCGTTGCGGTGCGTTGCGGCGGTGCGGTGCGGTGCGGTGCGGTGCGGTGCGGTGCGGTGCGGTGCGGTGCGGTGCGGTGCGGTGCGGTGCGGTGCGGTGCGGTGCGGTGCGGTGCGGTGCGGTGCGGTGCGGTGCGGTGCGGTGCGGTGCGGTGCGGTGCGGTGCGGTGCGGTGCGGTGCGGTGCGGTGCGGTGCGGTGCGGTGCGGTGCGGTGCGGTGCGGTGCGGTGCGGTGCGGTGCGGTGCGGTGCGGTGCGGTGCGGTGCGGTGCGGTGCGGTGCGGTGCGGTGCGGTGCGGTGCGGTGCGGTGCGGTGCGGTGCGGTGCGGTGCGGTGCGGTGCGGTGCGGTGCGGTGCGGTGCGGTGCGGTGCGGTGCGGTGCGGTGCGGTGCCGGTGCCGTGCCGTGCGGTGCGTGCCTGTGCGTGCGGTGCCGTGTGCCGGCCGTGCGGTGCGGTGCGGTGCGGTGCCGTGCGTGCCGTGCAGTGCCGTGCCGTGCGGTGCGTGCGGTGCGTGTGTGGATGCGGTGCGGTGCGGTGCGTGTGCGGTGCGGACGGGCGCGGCGCGGCGCGGTGCGGTGCGGTGCGGCGGTGCGGTGCGTGTGCGGTGCGTGCGGTGCGTGCGGTGCGGTGCGGTGCGGTGCGGTGCGGTGCGGTGCGGTGCGGTGCGGTGCGGAGCGGTGCGGTGCGGTGCGGTGCGGTGCGGTGCGGTGCGGTGTGGTGCGGTGTGGTGTGGTGTGTGGGGTGTGTCTGTGTGTGTGTGTGCGTGCGTGCGTGCGTGCGTGCGCGTGCACGTGCGCGTGCGCGTGTGCGTGTGCGTGTGCGTGTGCGTGTGCGTGTGCCGTCCGTGCGTGTCCATCTGTGTGTATGTGCGCATATGGTTGTGGTGATGGCTGTTTGGAAGTGCGCTTGCATGTGCGCGCGCGTACATGTCGACTGCATGTAGTTGATTCCATGTCCTCATCATTGGCCTGTGAGCGATCGTAGTGTCTTTGGGTCTGTGCACATCCTCACTTCCCTTTAAATCTACATAGCCGTTTGTCTCGTGACAGTTGCGTGTGTTTCCTGTATTTCTGTCTGGTGTTCCAGCATTCCTAAGCTTTTTCGTATCTGGGTTCCTGCTGTGCTGAATTCTTTGTGTTTTTAGTGCGAAGCAACGCTCACGCATGCATGTGGACATTCGTGAGTTAAAGGTTGTCTGTTTCGATGTGCTCGTTTCACAAATCGCAAGCCGGCGGATCTTTTGGGCTTGCAGCATCACCTGTTCGCAGATCAGCGACTTTGCAAATGCACGAGATCCGATTGCTCGCAGATGTTGCGTGCGGGTGGTTTTCTGATGCGCGTATATTTATGGGAATCCTCACACCGCGGAGAGGAGGGCCAACATGTTTGTAAAGTCGAGACTCTGGACACCTTCTGAGCCAGGTGCATGTTCTGGTTTTATGTCTCGATGACATATCAGCCGGCTGTGCATGTAGTCCACAGCCCTTGCCAGATGACATTTTCTCGGTTGCAGTCAGAAATCTGCAAATGTGGCATGCAAGGCTACTAAGGGCCCCGCTGTACAAGCTGCTGCACAACACATGCAGTTTCCTTCAGTGCACCAGCCCTTGGGCCCCTTCACACTTTGCTCCAACTACAAATGGAGTCCTGCTCGGTGTGAGTTTCAGCCTCCATGATGTAGTCGAAGATGCGTGCCCCATCGCAAAGCCTTCAAAAAACTTCCGCCCCGCCCCTTTGGGGCCCCATGCCACATCCACCGACCGAGGGCAGCACTCGAAAATGACATAGAAGTGGAGCTTGCCCTTGAAGGTCTCATGCATCCTCGCCATTGGCAAAAAGGGTATGCTCGAAAAGAGTTGGTAACCCCAACATGGCGTAAGCCCTGGTACATGGCTTGCCAAGGACTAAAGCCTGCGGTCCAATTGCTGGCGGCATACCCAAATGGCAAAGGAAGGGCAGCAGGTTGACCATAGCAGAGTTTGATGGGCATCGCTGGCCTGATGATGTTGGGATGCGCCCGCACATCTTTCAGAAGCATGACCTGCGAGAATAGAAAATGATTCCTCGCTGCAACTTGGTGAACTAGTCGCGAACAATGCTGATGCAATCATGAGTCTAACAAAATGTTCACACATTGGCGTTGCAAATGTTCAGGCTGATACAAGCAGCGCCGCCTCTTTTTTTAGAGCTTCCACATCCACGCCGGGGAAGCCTAGCGTGTACCTCAACAAACAATACAAGATTGGCAAAATGTGCAATTGAACTAAGGGGGAACTGAGAGCCGAACTGCTTGATTGCACGAGCCATTCCAGTTTGCTTGTGTGTGGAGAGTCGAATCTGAGAAAGCCAGGGTGCAAAAGCGACATCCAATTGAGACAACGACCGCAAGCTAAGCAAGGCACCAAGTTTTTGTTTGAGCGGCCGATAAGGCCGTCTGCAAACATGTACACGTCAGCTATGTACCTCCAAAAAGCCATTGGATTGGTCCGGAAAGAAGGAATCGCCTCAAAATCGGTGGCATCCCGCATGGTTGCCAACATCGCTCTTCAAGAAAAACGCTACCAGTTTGGGGCCTTGAGGTTCAAGAAAATAAGCAACAATGCACTACCACGCATCCGCAAAGGCGCACCCGGGATTCTCAATGCCGGTAAGATCAATGATGGTTGTTGGCGCCTAGGTACCGGCGTATCTCAAAATAGAACAGTCCAAGCAAGTACAAACGTGACATTTTCAAAATGCCTCGACGTGTGCTTTGATCAACTCGTCGGGCTGCTCGATGCGTGCATTGTTCCTGTAGTACAGCTGCATCGACGAGCTAGAAAAGGACTAAGGAGCAGTTTGATGGTAAACAAATCAAAACTCCCGCATGCCTCGCCTTGCATCAAATCTTTGTGGTTGAAGCTACCCGCTTGCCAGAAAGTTCCCTCGCGACCGGCTCCAGGACTCCGGCCACCGGCTGAAAGAGGAAACCGCCTTGCTCATGGAGGCCATCCTGTTCGCATCTCAGGCACGCACCCTGCCAAACGATTCACCTGGATCCTTCGGGTCCTATTGAATCCTTGATGGAAAATGAAAGCCAAGAGCGGCAAGAGCCACAAAGACTTCAAAGACTGGAGGGCGAAATCGCAAACCACCAGCAGCTGCCCTTTAAAAAGCTGACCCGGCTTCGGGTCGAGCGACGTCCAGCGGCGCGCGCTCCAAACGGCTCGGAGCGTCCTCAAGGAGGCCACCATGTTGCCCACGCTGGCACCCGCCCCCATGGCAGAGAGAAGCACAAAACGCGGCTGGAGCGCCGGAAGAACAAGAGGCAACCGCGGTACCCACGGGCTCGGCTGTTTTTTGTTCTTCCTTTTTTTGCCGGTCAATCCTTCAACTTCTTTGCCACTTCAGGGCCCAAGCGGAATGCCGAATGTGCACTTGAGTTGAGGTTTTGCACACAAAGAAACAGGAGCAAGCGGTTGGATGGGGGTGCTTCTTGCTGAATCATGCACTTGGCTACAAACACCTGCAGCGTGCAGGAGACCAGAAGTACCATCTGGTTCAACCAAAACACAATGTGAACAGTTTATGGCAAATGTTACTTTTAGTGAGACACAACATCAGAATGATTGAGCAAAAAATAGCAGGCAGCAGGATATGGTTGAACTTTGACGTTTGTTATTGGAGTCCACCACATTTACGTTTGGATTCAAAGACTCTCGCGCAACGAAAAATATTGGGCAAAACACGATGCACTGAATTTGCTTGCAACACTCCCGCATGGAACATGTTTGCTACAAGACTGATTGCTGTAAAACACCAACACATGGAAAATGGTGCACTACGTTATTTCGGCCTACAATGGAAAATAATCGAAACGGCTCAAGCATGCCGGCGCAGGCAGTGATGTCCTGATGCACACCGGAGATCATCAACATGGACTAGTCAACACAAATGCCTACAAACAACCGTCAAATGCAGATTGCATTCGATCACATCCAAGGCCAGTGGATGTTTTCAACCGAACGTCAAACACCTCGGCTCCCAGGCGGTCTCAGAAAAATCATTCCGGCGCACGATGAAGTCGCACAACAAGCCAAGCAACGTCGCCAAAAAGATTCAAATCAGTTCTTCCCCTTTACGCGTCAGAAGTCCAAAGCAACACGTGACAGAATCCAAAAAATATGCCAGGTTATGTACAGTTGCCTCTCTCCAAAAATCAACACGGAGGCCCCAAGGCCCGAGCAAGGGACAATCGCGATAGCGGAAGGAGACCGGCCAAGTGCAAAGGCTAAGACGACTCCAGTCCCACGAACCGAAGGAAGTTCAGTTCCTGAGGCGAAGAGAAGGTAAGACGCTCCCGGCGAGAGTCGGGGCTCGGCTGAAGGGCAGAAGAGAGAAAGGAAATCCCGTTGAGGAGTCGGCATCAAAGAGACCTGATGTTGACAACAAGCCAGGTGCGGCGGCGAGAGAGGCAAGTGGAGATGATCCTCACTCCGCGCTTGGTGGTCTTCGGCAAAGGACGCAGTAGCGCCCTTGACGGCATCCAAGGCGAGCCTGAAGGGAGTGAGGTCAGGTTGCAGTCGGCAGAGCGAGCTGCTGCGGGTCCAGCGGAAGGTTGTTTCCTGGCGTTGCCGGAGATTTCAGTGGTGGATGCATTCCTGACGAGGGTGCTAAATAGGCAGGTTTGAGATTTCATCAGGAATGGCGAGAATGCTTCAGTGCTGGAGGTTCTCAACCAGATAGTGGCGAACTCTCGCATCGGGCGTACGCGTCGGGATTTGGAAGTCCCTCTCGGAGGTCCGTTAGAAATCTTGACACCAGGGATTCGCGAGAATCAAGGAGGCGCAGGCATCGACCGCGGCGTGACGAAGATCGAGACCGAAGGAGAAACGATGTTCGGGATTGTCGTGGTGATGATTCGCTTGATCGAGAACGTGATCGAAGGCGAGATGATCGTAGGAGATCCGAGAGGGGTCGCGCGGGGCGGACGTGACCGGAGGAGACGTGACGATAGCCGATAGGCTATGTCTCGGGTTGCGGCCGATAGGTTTGCGCCCGTTCTCCAATGGTTGGCGCGGTGCGGAGGCGGTGATGCTCCTTCCGCGCTGAGGAGCCCGTCATATCACGGGTGGAGCGTGCCATTTACTGATAGGATTTAACTGCTCGCATGCATCCGCAAACAGCTGGACACTACGGCCGTCAGCGGTGGAGCAAACCCACAAAGGCAGTTGCGCGACATCCCGGGCATTAAGTGACCATGCGTACCTGAAAAATATTTGAATTCTGCAAACCTGGGAGTATCCTCCACCAGTTTGCATCCCCTCTCACTTACACTACTTAAGGAGTGCGCAGCGGTGTGGGAGAGACATGTTCTCCGCGCCTCTGCAATGAGCAAAGTAGTAAGGAAAGACAGCTTATACACCCCTAATTATTTGTGATTTTTGGGCCAAAAACGCTCCAAAACGGCCTTTTTTCGCCCGAAAAACGCTTGTCACCAGCGATGTCACCGCTTCGTTGCCGCTCCGTTTTTGGTGCAAAAAGCGCTGAAAACGGCGAACTCCGAAAAGTGCGTTTTTTCGTGTCCGGCGTCAAAAGTGGTGCCTGGGCCTCCAAATTCGCTCGTTTTCCTCTGAAAACCGGCTCCAGGCGTTCGCCGTGCTCCGAAATCCGTTTTCTGGCCCGAAAAGCCTGCGAATTCCAGCCCGCTGAGCTCGTCGCCGCTTGTCACCGCTTTGTCACCGCTCGCTTTTTGGGTGCAAAAGTGCGCAAAAGCGGCCCCAATTCCCGAGCTCCTTCTCCGCAGGGTTTTTCGCGGCCCGGCAGCCCGCCGAGGACCTGGCTCGGAGCCCGACAGCCAGCCGAGGTTCTCCACGTAACACGTCAGCCTGCTGAATTAGTCACCGCCGATGTCACCGGTGTCTAACACGTCAGCGCCGAGGTACCGGGGTGGAGTCGAACCTCCCAGACGTCGCTCCGGAGACCAACGCCTAAGCCATCTCACCATCGGCTTTTGTTACCATCCCAAAACGGCGCTTTTTGGCCCAAAAACGCTCTCACCACGATGTCACCGCTTCGTCACCGCTCTCTTTGGGGCCGAAAAGTGCGCAAAAGCGCCCCAGTTCCCGAGAGGACACGGTTCTTGGCAAGTTTGAGTCAATAATGGAACCGGATGATTCATCAATGGCTCATGAATGGGCAAGGTTGGTTATGAATGGGCAAAGGTTGGTTCATGAATGGGCAAGGTTGGCTGAGACAAGTGTCCTTCGCCGGTCTCGTCATGAAGGACCTCGCTTCATGCCCAGTGTCCGACGCCATCGGACACTGCGTCATTCCACACTTCGCGTACTGGTAGGGGCTGTTGATATATAACACACCCTGCGCTACGAAGGCCCCGAATGACCCATAGCGACTCAAGTGAGGGCGCGTCGCGAAAGTACAACACCCCAGTGTTACAAACACGTAACGACTACTCCTAAGAAAACATGTTTGAAGGATCTGTCACGGGCAACATCCCGGAGGTCCTGGACAACGGAGAGGTGACTGACGGCACGCGCGTCACAGCAGGACAGCTGGCCCTCGCTCTGACGCCCTGCGTCAAGTAACGTGTCGTGAGGATGCTAGTGCACCCCAATGTGCTGTGGGTTGCTTGCAGTGGTGCCAAGCTAAAAGCACAACGCCGCCATGTAGGCATTGCTGGTTGACTTAGGCAGTATCGGTTATTGGGGTCCGCGATGCGCACCCACGGGGTTTGCCGCACCCGTGGGATGTCCCAAGGGCAGTGCATGGTGCGGTACGGTGCATCGAGCCTGGGGGCTGTTAAGGTCCGAATATGTGCGCTGGTGGCCCAAATGGCTATGCACTGCTCGAGTGTTTTGCGGAGTACCCGTCGGTCTGATCAAGGCGTCCAGCTTTGTCAGCTTTGCGGACACAAGCTGAATGGTGTTGTGGGAGAAGTTGATCTCCCAGCCGCACAAACAAGGCTGTTTTGGAATTGCACCTTTTTCCATGAAATTGGCGCCGCAATGGGCAAAAGAAAAGCACCACAAGGCAAACATACCGGTGCGCTATCTTGGAAGAGTGCACACACAAGGTCCACAAAAAAGGAAGGCTTTGTGGGGCACCTGGCAAGCGAAAAAGCGCCAGTGCGCTGCCCCGGACGAGTACCAATCCATTGCGCATAGGAGGTGTAGTCCCGATTACGGCGCCTGACGATGAGGTGGTACGTCAGGGACAGGCTGCGGAACTACTCAGGTAGGCGCGTGGTTGTCATGGTGGATCTTCGGGTGCATTGGTCGCTGACTGGCTGTTTATCAGGAGTAGTAAGGAAAGACTGCCTATACTACCCTATTAATTTTCGGATTTGGGTCCCAAAACCCTGCAAAACAGCCAAATTCTTCAACCCGCTGAACGTTTTTCCGATGTCACCGGTCTTTGTCACCACTCCGTTTTGGGTGCAAAAAGCGCTGAAAACGGCGAACTCCGAAAAGTGCGTTTTTCGTGTCCTGCGTCAAAAGTGCTGCCTGGGGCTCCAAATTCGCTCGTTTTCCTTCGAAAACCGGCTCCAGGTGTTCGCCGTGCTCCGAAATCCGTATTCTGCCTCGAAAAACCTGCGAATTCCAGCCCGCTGAGCTTGTCACCGCCGAAGTCACCTCTAACACGTCAGCCCGCCGAGGCACAGCCCAGAGTCAGCCAGTGTCTGACGCGGCAGCCCGCCGAGGTGCTCCCGAGTAACACGTCAGCCCGCCGAGGTTCTTCCACGTAACGCGTCAGCCCGCTGAACTCGTCACCGCCGATGTCACCGGTCTCTAACACGTCAGCCCGCCGAGGTCCCGGGGAGGAATCGAACCTCCGAAACGTCGCTACGGAGAGCAACGCCTAAACCATCTCACCATGGGCTCTCGCTACCTGTCCAAAACGGCGCTTTTTGGCCCAAAACGGTCTCACTGCGATGTCACCGCTTCGTCACCGCTCTCTTTGGGGCCGAAAAGTGCGCAAAAGGCTTGGAAAAGCGAAGTCGGAAATCCGACCTCGCTCCATACCGAAGTCGGATTGGGGCCTGGTGCGGGCCTGGTGCGGCAATCCTGCGTTGGGCACAGGATTGCTGCTTCAATCCTGTCGTCAGCCCAGGATTGCTTTACTCAATCCTGTCGCCACAGCAGGATTGCCCTGATGCAGCACCAGCAGCTCAGGCTTGGAGCTGTTCTTGCCCGAGCACAGCCTTGTGATGGAGCCGGCCCTGCTGTAGAGCTCCCAGGCTTCAGGCACGTCGTTTATGCTCAGGAGGAAGGGCAGGCCGCTTGCGAAGAGCGCGTCTCGGAGCTCTGAGTGGAAGGCCAGGTCATGCCC